AACTGCAGGGTTTAACTGTTGGCCAAAGCCAAACCATTCAAATCAAGTCCAAAGACAAATAAACCCATACTAATGGCGAGCTGCTCTAAACAACAGCCGCACTGAATGGCAGGAGAGCTGGGTTTAAATAAGCAGGCCTCTTCTGTGGTTGGAGGAGCAGGAGGTGAAGAAGCCAACCAGGATGCAGATTGATGTCCATTGGGGAGGATTCAGGAAGTGAAGCAGCCAATCCCAGATGGGCCACAGCACAGCTGAGTCAGCAATCAACCTGCAATCACTTTTGCTCAACCAAATGGCCTCAGGCCGTAACAATACACACAAAGGGAACTAAAATTAATATTTCTGAGGACATTAAATTTCATTTAAAGTATTTTAGGAAAGTTATACGCTAATTTGTTACTGGGATAGGGAACTCGGTAAAGAGATGGTGTCTTTATGGACTCGTTTTCACTCAAATCTCCATTACAGTAAAAAATAAATAAAGTATTTCCATGGTTTGTCTTTGCACCTCAGCCTGAGCTAATTGGTCTCATTTTGCCAGCACAGGTCACATATGTTCCCTTCCAAATGATGACTTTGTTTGGATGTAATCCTGCAGCTCATGGATCTGTCGTTGGCAGGTGACTGCTGGCTGCTCGCTGCCATCGCCTGTCTGACTCTGAACGAGAAGCTGCTGTACAGAGTGATTCCTCCGGATCAGAGCTTCACTGAAAATTACGCCGGGATCTTCCACTTCCAGGTTCTACAGAAGCATATGCTGTGTCATTAAACATATATATTTTAGACCAAGCAAAACTAGCACATTGCTGCATGAAAATCTCTGTCAACACAGTTCACAGTAAAAAAAGTGCAAAAAAAGAAAAGAAAATGAAATAATGCACAAAAATAATCATGTCATCATTATATTTATTTTGTTTATCTAGATTATTTATTTATTATTTATCAATTTTCAACTCCTTTATTCTGCTTAAAACAAAATTTTCTTTCCTGCACGTTGCACCAAAATATATTTATTGTTTATTTTTGGCTCTTCAAATACACCCCTAATTTGTGTTATATGTTAGAAAATAATTACATTGACTCAATCATGTAAAAGTCTGATTTATAGGTTACATTAAAATGAGCATATCACATTTATTGTTCCAATAAAAACACATGGTCTCATTTATTAAAAATACTGTTTACAATTTGCTCTCTAATGGAAAATATTGTTGGTCATGATTTTTAAAAAAAACAAGTCAATCTTTATTTAAATGCAATTTTTAGCTCATTTTTTACACTCATAAATAAACGTATTTAGCAAAAACATTCATTGACGCTTTCTTCAAAAAATCTGAATGTTATAAACAGTTGTTTCGGCTTTGTTGTGTTCAGTTTTGGCGTTATGGCGAGTGGATCGATGTGGTGGTGGATGATCGCATCCCCACCTGCAACAACCAGCTGGTTTTCACCAAATCCTTCAGGAAGAACGAGTTCTGGAGCGCTCTGCTGGAGAAAGCCTATGCAAAGTAACAGATTGTTCTTCATTTCTCTTCTTCGATCTGAAAACATTCAGATTTTACCACTCTGAGTTGTCACTTTAGATGCATAAATGTTCAAAAATGTCACAAAAATGTTGTCTTGCTTTTATATTTCAACCACTTCCCAAGAAATATTCCTTTAAATGGCTTGAACTTGCATTTGGTGACTACAGAACCTTAGCGCCAAAGAACCCAGAGAAATTGCCTTTCCTGTGAAAATGCAGCGTGAATGCTTATTGCTGAAGAACTTGCTGACAAACTGCTGAAATTAGCTTAAAAAAACATGATGACATGTAGAAGAAATAAAAGCACAAGCCTAAATTAGCAGAAGAAAACAAGGAGAACACATATTTGCTGAATTAGGTTTAAGTAAGCAGAAATCAGCATAAAATGAGGAAATTAGCTTAAAAAAGGCTGAAATTAGAAAAAAAAAAGGCTGAAAAGTAGCTGAAATGCAGAAAGAAGCATAAACTACCAGAAGGAAGTGGAAAGAGCTGAAATGAGCTTAAGAAATGTGGAATTAGCTGAAAAAGCTAAATTTAGCACAGCACAGCTAAAAGATAGCTGAAACTAGCAGAAAAAGCTGAAAGGAGCATAACAAGCTGAAATTAGCATAAACAAGTTAATGAGGCTGAAAGTAGCTGAAATTATTTTGAAATACTTTAATATATCTGAAAACAGCTGAAACAAGCTAAAAATACTACAAGTGTAGCTGAAAAGGTATAACAAGCTTAATTTAGCAGAAGAAAGTAGAAAGAACACACATTTGCCCAATTAGGCTTAAATAGGCAGAAATGAGCACAAAAAATATTGAAATTATCTAAAAAAAAGTTGAAATGAGCAATAACAGCTGAAAAGGAGCTAAAAAGGCAGAAAGAAGCTTAAATTAGCAGAAAGAAGTGGAGAGAGCATATTTTTGCTGAATTAGGCTGAAATTTATTGAAATGAGTGCAATAAATGAGGAATTAACTGAAAAAGCTAAAATTAGCATAAACAGCTAAATTGTAGCTGAAATGGCAGAAATAGATAAAACTTACAGAAATAAGCTGAAAAGAGCATAACAAGCTACAATTTGCTGAAAGAATTTAGAAGAAGAACACAAATGTTGTGGTTAGCAGAAAGAATCTGAAATGAGCACAAAATACCTGAAAGTAGCTGAAAAAAGTTGAAATTTGGACAAAGAAGCTGAAAGAAGCTGAACCAGAACAAAATGTGAAAGGAGCAGTAAAAGGTTGTGAACAGATCTAAAGATCTGAAGGATGTAAAATGAGCTCAGTTCATTTTCTATGAGAGAAAAAATGTGGCAGAAAAAGCCTAAATATTTCAAAAAGCTAAAGTTGCACCAATACTAAAAGTCGTAGCAGGATTGTCCTGAATGAGCTGAACGTTTTGATTTCTGATTTGTAGAAATAGCTTAAACACTGTGGGACGAGAATTGTGCCGAAAAGCTTACAGAAGAAAAATGGATCACAATAGACTGGAGAGAATACTTCATAAACATTCACACAGTAACAACTACTATAACCCTTTATGTTTCATAAATTGGCTGTCAAGCTGTGAAAAACCTCTTAGATCAGACGTGTCTGCTCTCTCACAAGAATGTTGGATCTCTCTCTCTCAGGTTGCACGGCTCGTACGAAGCACTAAAAGGGGGGAATACTCTGGAGGCCATGGAGGACTTTACCGGCGGAGTTACTGAGTATTTTGAGTTGCCTGAGGCGCCGGCGGACCTCTACAGCATCATGAAGAAGGCCCTGCAGAGAGGCTCGCTGATGGGCAGCTCCATAGATGTGAGTGGAGGAGAAAACACTCAAAAGGTCACACAGCAAGGTCAAAATGTTCAAACTTTATGTTCTGTATTTCCTCTATAAGGTTTCTTCAGCCAGCGAACTGGAGTCTCGGACTGAGCATGGGCTGGTTAGAGGTCACGCCTACTCCATCATCGCTCTGGAGGAGGTGCAGCAAGCTGCACAGTGCACACATGTATTCTTAGATGGGAAAGATTAACGCACCGCTAACATGAGGCTTGTTTTCTCAGTGTGACGAAGTTGCAAAGGACACCAAAATTCGCCTGATTCGATTGCGCAACCCCTGGGGTTGGGTGCTCTGGAAGGGACCCTGGTGTGCCAAGTAAGAGATGCTGAGACATTTGTAGAATATTGAATTAAAAACCATAAGAAGTGGTGTGTACCAGTTATAGCTGCTTTGAGCTTATTATGATGTTGGAGCTTTAATGTTTCTTCTGTGTGTTTTTAAAATTAATCTACTTCCTCACACTTTGGGCTATTTAACCGTTCATGTATTAAAACACTGAGTTCAGTCAGGAACAACTTTGACTTTTGATTTTTGTAACTTTTTTACTTTTCAAGATGTTTATCTTTATTTGAACAATTCACCAGTCATATTAAGATTTCTTTGGATTCATACAAAATCATCGTTCTCTTTAAAATTAGTTTCAGGAGATACTTGCTCTATTTTTGCCCTCTTCTATACTTTTAGCTGTTTCATACCATTCTGCATCTTTTAGCTACTGTTATGTCATTTTTAGCTTTTAGATACCATTTAGCTACTTTAACATTTTTAGATTCTGTTTGCAGCTTTTAGCTTTTATCCACAATTCTGGTATTTTTAACTACTGCTTACTTGTAGCTACTGTTCTTATTTTAGCTACTTTTCTGCAACGTTTAGCTACCATTTTACTCCTTTTAGCTATTGTTAGATGACCTTAGCTTTAGCATTTGTTTCACTAATTTAGCTACTGTTTTCCTTATTTTAGCACTTGTTTTGTTCAAATCTTTGGTGTTTATTACCAATTTTACCTACTGTTCTGCAACTTTTAACTTTAAGCTACCTTTAACTCATTTTAGCTAGTATTTTATGATTTTAGCTTTAGCCTCTTCTTGCTTTTGGCTGTGTTTTGCTACTTTTACCTTCTGCTTTCCTGAAGTTAGTACCTATTTTGTTCATTATAGGTGTGGCATCTGGTGTTAACTTTAGCTAGTGTTCTGCTGCTTTTAGCTTGTTTTCCTTTCTTTACCTCTAACAACTTAGTTTCAGCTTCTTCAGCAAATTTCAACAATATTCAACAATATTCATCTTTCAGCTGTCACTTAAGAACACAATGTTTTTTTTCTCCGGATGAAAGGATTTTAAGACGAGTCTGATCGTTTGGTGTTGTGACTCTTTTCTTTATTTTCTACGATTGCTTTTTTTTTTATCTTTTCGTAGCTCGAAGGAGTGGTCGACCATCTCCACTGCAGACAGGGAGAATCTGAAGAAACAGACCGTAGAGACGAGTGAGTTCTGGTGAGTTTACCTTCCCTGACTCCCCTGTCACAGCTTTCATGCTCTGATGTAACCACATAATCAAGATGATGATGATGATGATGAAGGAGAGGGTTCATCCCGAGTCATATTTCTCCACAGCATCTGTCAGGAAACCACTGTGAGCTGTTCAGTTTGTTTAAGGTTGTGTCAAACTAACCAGCATAATGCAAACGAAACATGAACGTATAGCAACAAGGTTGTTGTGAAACAAAAAACAAATCCCCGTCGGTATTCACCCACAACCTCAGACCTGCTAAAAACCGAACAATACTATTAAAATAATCCACGTTTCCTCCACGAGCCTCATTTTTAGCTGAAAACTAAAGTAAGATATTTATTGATTTGGCATGTGTACCATACTTCCTGTATTTTCTTACAAAACAAACAACATTTATGTGAAGTTTCTTCAAGAAATTTGACATTTGCAAATCAACGTTTTTATTAGAGACAAAAGCTGACAATTTCATTATTGTGTAGTGTTTCTCCAACTGGGCAAGTGGTGGCCCGTGGGCCACATCTGGCTCGTGGGTGAGCTCAGCTGAATTCATTTGAAATAAAACTAGACTTCAAGTTATAAATTACATTTTCTTGTTGACTCTAATTGCCCCTGAGCTGTTGGTCTTCAGTATCCGTGGTCCCATGAGCAGTTTAGCTAAATAACCCCGTGCTACAAGCCTCCTCCAGAGTTGTTTCCCTCCAGGATGTCCTTCGATGATTTCAAGAAGATCTTCACTAAGCTGGAGATGTGCAACCTGACGCCTGACACGCTGCAGGAAGACGAGAGGCACAGCTGGACGGTGTCGGTCCACGAGGGTCGCTGGGTGAGAGGCAGCTCTGCCGGCGGCTGCAGGAACTTTCCAGGTTGGTTCCAGGTTAAATAACAAACCCAACAAAGAAGTCATCTGCAGCTAATGTTCTTTGTAGACACGTTTTGGACGAATCCTCAGTATCGGCTTCAGCTGTACGAGGAGGATGACGACCCTGAGGACGGGCAGGTGGTCTGCACTGTCGTCGTGGCTCTGATGCAGAAAGGACGGAGGATGCAGCGCCATAAAGGCCTCAAGTTCCTCACTATTGGATTTTCCATCTATGAGGTGTGTGCACGACACTGAACACATTTATAATTAACAAAAAAAAATGCCTGTTCAGAAATTTATTTGACGTCTTGCTACTTCTGTCACTCTGCAGGTGCCAAAAGAGGTACATCCGCTGAAGAAGAATGTTTTTTTTTTTTTTTTTTGGGGGGGGGGGGGGGGTTGCCTGATATTTTGTCTGTTTCACCTGAGAGCCATGTGTGTTCAGAATCAGAATAAGCTTTACTATCATTGCACCATACAGTACAGTGAGATTATGTTTGTACAGTCGTCTGAAAGAGGGGCAGAGTGCACATTGCTGCCTAAGAGCGCGGCCCCTTATTCTTTAGATAGGAAAGGGGAAAGAAAGGATAGTGGTATTACAAAAAATATCTCTTCACAGCTTGTCCTTATCAAGACATGATTTAAGACATCAAAAAAACTCTACCAGCAAGCACATTTTTAGATGCATTACATATACATTTGACGACAAGACAGTGAGATTTGTCCACAAAGTACTTCCAGATATCACCATAGTCCTGATAAGATGTTGGTGTCAGCTGGTACAGCTCTGATAAGTGTTCACAGTTCTCTGGGGGGAAGGGGGGGTGTTGCAGATAGAGCAGAGCTTTCTTAGTTAACACATATCCCAGGAGAAATTTGATAAGTTGGCCTGCTTTGAGGCCAAGCAAGGGAGTCAGATTCAGATAAGCCACAGTTTATTTTTTTCAGGCAGACTGTTTTTTCTCGTCAGCCTTGAGTTCTGCTGGTACTTTTGATGATCCAAAATGGCCATATTTGTGGGCATTCCACTGGTCCATGCTTATTAGCTCTCTCAAGGTCGTCCCCAACATGCTGGCAAGTCCTAAAAGCTACAAGTGGCTTGCAATTCTCACAAATCGCTTCCATCTTATGGTTGAGCTCGTAAATCAGCTGATTTTGAGTGCTCGAAGCACGAACCAAACCTTCACATACGCTCGGCAGCTTTGCCATGGCCAAAACGGCTTCCGCTGTCTTCTTTAATAGCCGAATAATAGGTATCTGCTGGTGCCAAAAAGCAGAAACTTTGCTATCATGATTCCAATTATATAAATGTGCTCGGCGTCCTCCTGAGATAATACGGAAAGGCACGACGTACCCTGCCGCGTGCGTCTCAGCAGGGCATGAGGGTTCTCCAGGACTCTGTCACTTGTGTGGTACGGAAAGCAATACTTTTCCGTAGAAATCAGTGTCTGAAATTGTTGTAGTGTTTGACGGTAAAGCCTGATAAAACTTGATAGGACAAAGCATTTTTGTTCAATATAAAAAAGCAAAAAGTTAATCCCATCTAATATCTGTTTGTCTCCAGTCAGAAGGGCAGGATCAACATCTGCAGAAAGACTTTTTCCTCTACACGGCCTCCAAAGCCAAATGCAAGTCCTACATCAACCTGCGGGAGGTGACGGAGCGTTTCCGACTTCCCCCTGGCACGTATGTCATCGTCCCCACCACCTACAATCCCCATGATGAGGGAGAGTTCATCCTCAGGGTCTTCTCTGAGAAGCAGAACACATCTGAGTAAGAGTCTCATTGAATAACTAAACACAGAGATGCCATTAAGAGTGACAGGCAAAGGTTGACGAATGTGATTTTTACCCACAGAGAGGCAGAGACCACCATCGACCAAACGCAGGTTAGTCAGCTGATCATAGGGCGTGAATTTATTTCAGTTGTTTAAACCAGGGGTTCTCAAACTTTTGGGGTTCAGGCCAATACAGGAGAAAAAATAGTTCATGAACCCCCTCATGTTTATTAAATAATTTCCTTCAATTTGTCTCTTTAATGCAATGGAAATATTGTGTAACATTAATACTGAAGACCTGTTCTTTAATAGTGTTAATCCAATTTTTATACTTTTAAACATGGGCTACTATTTTTCATTCAAGACACGCTTAACAGCATTTTTAATTTCAACTTCCAAACATTACAGTTTTGAAAAAAATAACCATATCAAAAACACTTTAAAACTTTACCTATTCACAGAATGAACATAAATTGCCACTTCTTCAGATTATTACAGAAAACTCTTTACATAAAACTGAACAGAATCATAACAAGTAACAGGGCTTAATTTGTAAATTGACAGACACAAATAGTGGTCTGGTGTGTGTGTGGGAGGGGGGGGGGGTTGTCTGGGGTCCTCCCCAAAATTTTTTTGAATAAAGTAGATGTGATTTCCTGCATTTTGTTGTATTTTAACGGGTTGTTAAACATCTAGGTGCTTGTAAAAACATTTAAAAAAAGTAGTTGTTTTCTTTGCGGACCCCCAAGCATCAGCTTGCGGACCCCCGGGGGTCAGAGGACCCCAGTTTGAGAACCACTGGTTTAAACAGATAAACTGTCTGACTGCTGGATCTGCACTTCACTGTACAGGATCAAGTGGTCTTCATCAGTAGTTTTGTTTTTTCTATTTCTGAAGCTCTTTCAAAGTTTTTCTGTGGACTTTAGCTGCTTTGCTTACTCATTTTCCCATCATTTCATGCTCTATGATAATTTTATATTGTGTAGTGTTTGACAACTTGAGCAAAATGGACAAGCGAAGGACAAAAGAAACTGTGCTGAAATTCTGTCCACAGCAGAGGAAGCGTTCCTGAAAGATATATAAAAAAAAATGTTAAGCAAAGACCCAGCAGGACTTTAAATATACTTTGTTTACTGCACACCAAATTTTCAGCCAATAGCTCTTTGGTTGTCACCTTGTTGGCACTAAAATACTATTTTGTGTGTCAAATTGTGTTATTGTATGGATTCAAACAAATACACAAATAAAATGCCTTATAATCCAATTAAAAAGTGATTCTTTGCCAAATTGTTTGCCACATGTAATCCACACAGTATTGGTTTATCTGTTTAGCTCTAAAAATGTTTCAGAATCAGATTAAAAATGAGTGGAAAAGCAGCCAAAGTTGGAAAAACTACCATGAGAGACCTAAAAACCTTTAAAAATTCAGTCCAAGTATCAGTCAAGACCACTTTCAGAGTACATAAATGTCTGGGGATGAATTAAGACTTCTGCACTTTATTGTGGAAAAAAACAGAGTTCTGCTATTTCCTTGTTGCTCTTTTTTTTAATTATTATTTTGAGCTTTAACTCTTTCTGTCCTGTCTTAAATCGTATTAGATTTTCACTCTGAATAACCTACCTGCATTCAGGTGTTTTTTCTTCCTCTCTTCTGATTTTTATTCTTTGTCCCGACTCGTCTGTCCAACAGCAAGACAAGAAAATGAAGAGCAAGGTAACCAACGTGCCTGGCTGTAGCACTTCCTTCTTGCTTTAATACGCTCTGCTCCTCTCTGCTGTTTGCTTTATGTTGTGGTTCAAACGTTAGGCTGCTTAAGGATTGAAAACTAATCATTTTCTCGTCTCTGTTGTCCACACACACACCAGCCCATTGTGTTTGTGTCGGACAGAGCGCGGGCCAACAAAGAAATCGAGCACGACGGCATTCAGGGGGAGAAGAAGAAAAGACCCAAGGTACGGTGTCTGAAATTAAACCCAACCTTTACGCCCTGATCTCACTTCTGTCACCTTGCACCTCTGAAATACAAAACCAGGTCCAGCCCCATCACGGCGACTAAAGGAACCAACAACATTTATCTCTTTTTGATGAAAACTTTAATTTATGACAGCTGTGACGGTCAGTTTGTTTGACTTTACTTTTTTTAAAAGTAGTGTTTAAACGTCTATCCATCCATTATCTTTACCTGCTTCTTTCTTTTTCGGGTCACGGAGGTCACTGGTGACCATATCCAGCAGTCACTGTAAGAGGCGGGGAGCACCCTGGACAGGTCTCCAGTCCATCACAGGGAGACACATAGAAAAACAACCATTCACTCTCTCACTCACACCTAGGGACAATTTAGAGTTACCATTAAACAAAATCTTATATATAAAAAAAACACCTCTCACCTCTAGTTCTGGTAAATAATTTACATCTGAATGAACACCTTTATACAAATTTTAACAACTAAAGATTTATAATTTAGTTCACCTAGCACCAATGATCCCCCGTGACCCAAAAAGGAAGAAGCAGGTAAAGATAATGGATAGATGGATGGACTTAACAGGAGAAATGTTGTAATGAACTACAAAGTACTTTAGGCTGTTTTTTTTCTAAGAAATATCTGTGAATGAAGAACGATTTTAATGATAAAGCTGGAATTTAGTCCATTAAATAATTACTGTAATTTACACACTGTATACCGTATTTTTCGGACTATAAGTCACACTTAAAATCCTTTAATTTTCTCAAAAATCAACAGTGAGCTTTATAATCTGGTGCGCCTTATGTATTAATTCTGGTTGTGCTTACTGACCTCAAATCGATTTTATGTGGTACACGGTGCACAAAAATCTGTCAAAATGTTTTAGTTTCGCTTAATGCGCCTTCTAGTCCAAAAGATACTGTAAGGTCCTTCTAAAAAAAGGTCTTTGTTGAAAATGCGTCCTCGTGTTTTAGTGATACTGTTGAAATAAAGATTAAATAAAATATACAAGTCTTTGGTTTAACACCCATTTCCTTAAAGATTCATTTAGCTTAGATCTGTGCATTTCATTGTCAAAACTCCACTTCTCTAAACATAAACAGTTATTAATTAATTTTTTTGCTTTGTTTTTTTGAATGTCCAGAGGACCAGATTGAACTTTTTTGGATTTTTCTACCTGGATTATTGAGCATGCATCAGGATAGTTATTAATTAGTTATTATTAGACAATAAAGTTGACTTGAACTTAAAGAAAAGGAAATGTCTCTAATCCTATTTGGTCTTTGTAGTGTCTGGAAATCAACTCTCCCATGGCCTTCAGTTTTATTAAATTGTATTAAATGAAAGTAAAACTAAATTAAACTTACAAAATTAGGACAATTTTGCAGGATTACAATGATCCAGTTGTCCTAAAACTGACCTTTAATTATCAGCCTTGTGTTATTTGAAGGAATACATGTCGCCCTCTGCCTTAGTGTGATGTTGGTAAATGATGGTGTCATCAGTGATCTAGTCAAACCTTGTAAATAAATTTGTGCTCATCTCATGCACAGACTCACGGAGTATGTGTTGTGAGTGACTCTCAGTTACTACCACACCAAACTTGAGCTCCATGTCTGTAAAACTGACCAAGTTGGCGGCCATCATGAAAGAGGTCGACTCTAAAAGTTGATGAGTTGTAGTTTTACATGCAGTGATTACTTCCTGAGGGTTGCACCAGTCTGTGCCATAGTTTATGAGATATTTTGTTAACAGACACTATGAACAAAAACATTATCGCCCTCCAAGAGTCCCTCCTGAGTTCAAGGCTCTTAAAGTCCCAGATGTTAGTCAAGGAATTGTTGAAAGGATCAAGACTCAAACTTTAACTTTTTTCTGCATCTTTTTGTTGTTTGATATTTAATTTTTTTTTTAAAAGGCACAGATTTTATGACATCTTTTCTCCTTTTTGAAGCTGCTACAACCTGAGGAGACCGAAGAGGAAAAAAACTTCAGGGTTATTTACAAACAGATTGCCGGTGAGGTGAGGATACAACTCACGGATGTCTTTGATTTGATTAATTTGTGCTTTAATGTGGAATTAATCCGTCCTTCCTGCAGGACATGGAGATCTGTGCGAATGAGCTGAAGACCATCATGAACAACGTCCTTTCCAAACGTGAGCATGCAGCAGAGGTCACCATCGCAGCACGTGCGCTCACATGAAACGGCATCTTGATTCTGCTTTTCCAGATAAAAACATAAAGACCGAAGGGTTCAGCCTGGAGACGTGTCGGAGTATGATCGCCTTGATGGACGTATCCTTTAAACGTGGAGCAGAGAAAACGTCCCCACACATGATTTTTCTGTGACCGACTCTTTGACAGACAGATGGATCCGGGAAGCTGCACTTCCAGGAGTTCAAACATTTGTGGAAAAAGATCAAAGAGTGGCAGGTAGAGCAGATCCGGTGTCAGCTCATCCATCTTCCCGTTATTTTTAGTTTTAAGGGATTATCTCCTCATATTTGCAGCTCATCTTCAAACACTTCGACAAAGACAAGTCGTCCATCAGCAGCTTCGAGATGAGGAACGCGGTCAATGCTGCAGGTGAGCAGCAAGATGGAAACTGGTTGAAAACATTCAGGGTGTTCATTTTAATTGTTCGCTCCTCAGGGTTTCACCTGAACAAGCAGCTGTACGACATCATAGCCATGCGCTACGCAGACGAACGCCTCAACATCGATTTCGACAGTTTCATCTGCTGCTTCGTCAGACTCGAGGGCATGTTCAGTAAGTTCAACCCAAACCTCCTCCTACATCCTGACAAAAACACACCGTTAGCACCCATACCTGTCTGAGGACAAAAATGGTTACTGTATTTTTGGGATTATAAGGCGCATTAAGCAAAACAAAACAGATAAGTCAAACTTTATTTGACTCATTCACAATAACCACATAAAATTAGTTTGAGGTCCATAAGCACAACCAGAATTAATACATAAGGCTCCCTGATGATTTTTGAGACAATTTAAAAGGATATTAAGTGCGCCTTATAGTCCGAAAAATACGGTAAATTATGGTGATACGTCTGATCAGAAGAAACAAACTGCACAAAAACAAGCCATGGGATCATCTCGTGTGTTTTTCAGGAGCTTTTAATGCTTTCGATAAAGATGGAGACGGATTAATTAAACTCAATGTCCTGGAGGTGAGTTACTTTCTGTGTTTTCAAACTTTAAAATCTCACATTCTGCGTTTACTTATCACAACAGTGTTTTTGCCAGTCTTAGTGCATTAGTCTGTACTGTTAGCAAAACGTCTCACGAAACAGATTTGAAACTTTCAAATACAGGGCTGACATTTACAACGGATTTATTTTAAGAGCCAACTTGGTCCAAGATGGCTGCCGCATCATTGCAACGTTAGCAAATGCAAAAAATGGTCCATTTTAGATATCGAGCTAAAATTTGGAGTGGTAGTAGCTGAGCTTTGCCCCAACTCACACTACGAGAGCAACAAATTTAGCTGCAGTTTCATCCGTGGGACTGATTTGGCCCCAGGACCGCCAGTTGAATAACTTTGGCTTTAATTGCAGGTCAGCTCTGTCTGTCAGTAAAATATCCCATGAACTAGTGGACAAATTTAAATGAAACACATATTTTTGGCTACACTTCAACAAGATGCCGCTGTAGCTTGGTGGTCACTGCCGCAGTCTTGTAATCCCGAGGCTGCAGGTTCGAGCCCAGGTCGAGTCAGGACGTCGTAAAACAAACGCCAAATCTTTCCTGAGTTAATTCACTGTGGCAACTCCTGCAGGAGGAACCAGTCTAAAATAAACATCTGCATTACTTCAAAGAATGCTAGGGCTTTATATCTACGCATTAGGACGTGCATGTCATCTGCTGTCCATTATGGGGTGCTGCAGCGCCGTCTACGCCCTTACTTCCCACTGCCTTGCAACAACTCGTTCCTTTTTGGAACACTGTCCAGCAGTCCTAAACAATATTTGATGAATAACGAGTGAAACAGCACAGAAAGCTTTACATTTTCATTCTCAAAGTGGAACAGCTCGCAGATGAAAAGAAACTTTGGCAAAAATCACTGTTTGATTAAAAAAAAAAAGAAGGTTGTTGTGCTAATATATATATTTTTACTTTCCAGTGGCTTCAGCTGACCATGTACTCGTAGATCATTTCATCCAGGACAGCGGCTCACTTGACCCCACATTTGTTGTGACGTTAAAATTATGGTTTTGCACCTGGAATGTGACTAAAGATAGAGTTACGGATTGTAAATGAAAGCTTTTAAGTTATTGTTTTTAATTCTGGTTTAATATTTGGACTTCTGTCAAAGCTTTGAGCTGAAACAACCGGTACTCAGAAAATATTTACAGAGTCAGAACAGATAAGAGGGCAGCCTATGTGTCGTAAACATGTTTAAAGTGTCTTCTGCTTAAAAATTTGAGATAAACTTATACATTTTAATATTTTATTGCTGTACACATACAGTAGGTTTTAAATTAAACATACTGCACAGAATTAAATACAAAAACTGAGGCAGAACCTTAAAAGTTTGTCTTGGAATAATTTGATCTTAAATGTGAAAAAAAAGTAAATTATAAAGACTATAAATAAAATATCAATTAATGAAAAACAGAGTTAATCAAATTCTTTTTGTAAAAGAACTTAACGGCTTGAAAGTTGAGGCTTCTCCACCAAGTTTAATCTTTGATGGCAGTGTTGCATTGTGGGTAATGTAGGCGCTAGTTTAAGTAGCATCAAAGAAATATGGGATATCTGCATCGAGTCTGATGTCCTCCTCTTTTATGTTTCAGTCCATTCATTCTTTTGATTTCACACATAAACTCCTCTAACCTGTGGATCAGATCCTGTTTAAGCTGATGGTAAAATCTGCTTCTGAGCTCCAACGTGTTTGTGTCGGCGTTGCACTTTTGTAAAAAATATTCACAATGATTAGCTCCAAGCATGATTTAACACCAATCAAATCCTTTCGGTGATTTTACTCAGTAACTTTGAGAAAAACAGACGGATCCCAAATTAGAGCAATAACTTGTACAACTATGAAACAGAAAACGGGTTAAAATGCAAATCGTGTACAAATTAGGCGTTTTAGGAAATCGCTGACGTTTGTTCCTGCCTGGTCTTGTGTACGTTTAAGAGCAAAGAGGATGTGACTCTTCAAACAGCAACTCAGCAGGACGCAGTGTCTGTAAAACAAAAAAATAAAACGACTTGTACACAAAATGTTTCGAGTCTTCCCTCCTTCTGCACTTTCACTTTCATTGCCGTCAGTTTTGCAGCTTGTCGTTTTCTACGTGACTCTGCATGTGTTTGGGCAGTTCCTGCAGGAAAAACACAAACAAGACAGAAAAACTTAGTCAAGAGAATCATTTTAAACGGACATCCTGAGGTGGAAACTTCTTAAGGAGGACTCCCTCCTCCTGCGGTGATGGACAGAACGCCACAGAAAATCCTTCCCGTCAGCAGCCATTTTGCCACTTGTAACTGTTAGCATACAGATAATTACAGCTTGGATTATTTATCATTATACACTTTGTCTGTTAGTCTGCTCAAAGGGCTTAAGAAGCTGATGTAGATGGACACGTTTAGCAAATTTTAAGGGTAATATACGTCAGGTTTAACAAAATGAGTACTGTACTTGCCGCTGTACATGTTGCACTGCCATATTAGTTGCATCAGTCCAAATATGTCTAATAAAGTGGAAAAAACATAAATATGTCGCTTTGCCGTATAAGTCTCATCTATTATGCGTCACTGCTGACCACCTGGAAATGCGGGCCGGTATTGTGCCAAAAATCAATTGGCTGCCAAATGGCGGCCGCGGGAGCGTGCACTGGAGGACTTCAACAAGAACTTAACAAGATTAACACTTAAAAACAATTATTTGCTTGCTTCAAATTCAAAGAAAAGCGTGTCTCAGTCCAACTTTTCCTTAATAAATGCACTTTAACGGTCAAATCAGCTGCATTTCAAAAATCGATTCGCAGCTGCGGGAGCGCGCAAAGGGAGGACTCGCTGTGCATTTCTTTGAATTTTAACAAGATAACCACCAATAAAAAATAACCAAACCAACCAACAATTATTTGTTAGCTCAACATTTTACCAAAGATGCGTCTCACTTACATAATAAATGCACTTTAATGGTCAAATCAGCTGCATTTCGCCTGAGTGGCGCGGCAAAATGCAGCTGATTTGACGTTTGCTCCAGGAGTACCGGAGCGAGACAAAGGTGGCTCAGTATGGCAAGCCAAGTGCCTCATTAATAGCCACTTCTACCTATTAATGAGACACTTGGCTTGCCAAATTGGTTGAGGGCCCCTCTAGCAGCTGAAAATGGTAGTGTTCAATATTTTCATGTCAGAATGAATGAAATCGTCAGATCTCAGCCAAAAATTGGGTTAAAAATAGGGATGCACAATATTATCGGCATGGTATCGGTTGATATAAGCGATAAAGCTAAATATCGGACATCAGCCATTCCATCAAAATAACTCATCGATATAAAAGGCACTGTTTTTATATCTATCTATCTATCTATCTATCTATCTATCTATCTATAGATCTAACTATCTATCTATCTATCTATCTATCTATCTATCTATCTATATCTATATCTATATATATATATATATATATATATGTTTGTATAGTGTTACATCATTTTCAGCCCACTTTTTGGCATTTGCATTTGGTAGCAGGCCAAACTGACAAAGACCATGCAGAATAATGTAGTATTTTAATTCCACAGCAGAGAAAGCTATGTAGTCTCTGTAAGTAGGTCTAGGAAAAATATATCGTTATTGGTATCGGTTATCTACCAAATAAGTTTTAACATATCGGATATCGGCCAAAAATCCAATATTGGGCATCCGTACTTATAAGTATGGGAGAAAAAACAAATATTAGTCGCTTCGGTGTATAAGTTGCAGGACTTACAAATGTATACTAAAAGGTGTGACTTATACGGTGAAAAATATGGTAATCGTTTTAAAATCACAGCCCTCTGAATCTGCCCAAGCTGTCACTTTATGGACACTCCATGAGTGTATCTCCTGTCTGAATAAGAACATGTGACTTAAAAACACGTTTTAGAAACAACCTAACCTGTTTAACTGCCTGCTGTGTGGAGAAGAAGGTGTTGCAGTCCTTCCAGCGACATTTCACGGTCTGCAGGTTTGGGTTGCTGTGATCTTCGGTGAGGTGAAGTACGAGATGCTCCGGGACGCCGAAGATCATGCTGCAGCTCTGCCACTGCACAGAGGACAAACGTGTAACCACTAAACTCCATCCAGAAGACACTGAAAGCAGGATGAAGACGCCAGCAGTGCAGGTCTTACCCAGCACCGGTGGTTTTTCATCAGGTTGAGTTTTACAGCTTGAACCGTTCCATCGTAACAGCCTGTGTAAATCTGCGAGGAGTGGTCAGAAGGAAATGGAAATGTACGTCGCAACTGTGAACATCTGACATCTTTGTCCACATAAATAAAAAAACACACGGCCGGTCCAGTTTCAGTCCACTTACCACACTCCTGTGAACAGCCATACACATCACCATGTCACTGTGACCCCCGTACACTTGCAGGCGATCGTGGGACTAGAAAAAAACAAGACAGCATATTTTTCAACTGTCGCCATGAAAAGGAGGCTATCATGGAAATACCTGTCTGTTAGCAAAATACCTCACTGACCACTGAAGAGACTTTAGTGAAACTTTCAGGAACTAATCACCGGATGTACATTTACAACTAATTCACATTTGGAGTCAATCCAAATCAAGATGGCTGCTACAGCTACACAACCTTACCAAACACAGAAATGGCTCTAACCAAGTCAGTTTTACAGCTATGGAGGTAAGATTTAGTGTGGTAATAGCTGAGAGTCATCCTCAACACATAATCTGAGCACTGTTAGCTCATTTAAGAACTTAGTTTGAAACTTTACCATTAATCGTTGGAGTCAACCATGTTTGACTTTAACAAATTATTATTGAGCGTTGTTCCCAAAGTCACCACTTGTTCCAGCTCTTAAAGAGAGAATAACTTCTAAACCCAAAATAAAAGCCACTAAATTGTTCCTAACGCTAACATTATGACTTACTCGCTTATGAAGTCATAAATACCTGTAGCTCATAAACTCGAACCAGTCTATCCAGGCAGGCCGTCACCATCACTTTCCCCAAAATGACAATAGACGTGACGGCATGACCGTGACCCTTGTAGATCCGAACCAGCTCACCCGTCTACAAACAAACAAACAAACAAACAAACAAACAGATGTGTATGACAATACTGGCAACTGTGTGTGCAAGAAGTTGAAACCGAAGCACAGATTTATACAAACATGCTGCATGAATTGATACATAAAACTGATCAGAAACACTTGCATGGATGTTGTAAGCGTGCACGGATGTGTCGCTGGAGCCACTGAAGACCAGATCATTCACCACCTGAAACAACAAACGAGGTGAGATTTGCCTGAAAAACAATAAATCCTTATTCAAGAGGTCATTAGGAAGTACAGTAACACGTTTTATGAAGAACGATGAGTGAATTGCACAAAAAAAAAAAAAAAAACCTACTTTAAAAAATTTGAAGTTAATCGACGTAAACTTTTATGATTCAAAATGGCTAAAGTTGCACAATATTTGCTGAAAATCTCCAAACATTTCAATGAACGTGGTTTTGTGACAGATGTGAGTGAAGTCAAACATTTAAGAAATTGGGATTTTTATCAACACTTTGATTGATACCACCCTCAGACTGTGCTCGCCTCACCTTCATGCAGAGCACAGTCTTGGTGTGACCTTGCAGTGAGCGCAGCAGCAGGCCGTTCTTGGCGTCGCGCACGCTGATTGTGTTGTCGTACGACCCGACCAGCAGCAGCCGCCGAGCTCCCTCCTGAGCCGTGCTGAGGCAGCTCACCCCTCGTGGGCCGTGGCACTCGAACACATCCAGCTCCTTCAGGGTCTAAATAAAAACACAGAAAACCAGAACAAGGAAATTAAACCTAAAGAACCAAACAAAGATGCTCGACTGCTTCAGCTGGTAAAATACTTTACCTTGTTATTGCTCCAACATTAAAACAGGTTACCTCACCTTTAGGTCATAGCTGACGACCGATCCACTGGCGAGCCCGACGAACAAAATATTCCAAGCTATGTGCAAACACAACACCCTGTCTGGTACGGAGATGTGCTCCAGACACTTTTTAGACTAGAAGTACAAAAAAAAAAAAAAAATAGAAACAAAGGTTTCAAGAACTGGGCAGTATCTGATCATTTCAAACCTGAACTTTCATCGCTGAGGGTTTTAAAAGGATGCAAATGTTTAAAATATATCTATTTATCAACAATTATGAAACATCTGAGGTGTAATCAACAGTGCAGTACTCTGCATAAAGTAAAAGTTCCTGTTTTTGCAAGTGATTTACTTAAATTCTTCAAAAGTTAAGAGTTTGTATTGTAATCCTCAAACTTTTCCACATACTGTATTTATCAGATTTTAAGGCGCATTAAGCGAAATAAGTTCGTTTTGACAAATTTTTGAGTGCAGAGTTCCACTTAAAATTGGTTCAAGATCAGTAAGCATGACCAGAATTAATACATAAGGCGCACCGGACCTGATTGTAAGGCTCACTGTTGATTTTTGAGAAAATTAAAAAGGATTTTAAGTGCGCCTTATAGTCTGAAAAATATGGTAGTTCACTTTGTCCAGGTGTGTTGTACCTTTAAGCTGTAACAGCGGATGGTCTCATCGCTGGATCCGGTGTAGAGACGAGCAGGCATGTTCTGACTGGACGACACCAGCAGGCAGTTGACTTTGTTGGTGTGACCCTGAAAAATGGCTTCACACTCTCTGGTCTGGAAAAGAAAAATGTATTTATTATGAAATAATTAAAAAAAGAGAACCTTTATCGTGAGAAATAGAAAAGATGTGAAGGAGTACGAGATAAAACCTAAAGTTAAATAAATATGCCGGGTTTTTTTTTTGGATTATAAGGTGCGATATCAATGAACGGGTCTGTTTTCATACACAAGGCACACCGGATTATAAGGAGCATTAAGCAAAACAAAACCGTAAGCTACCGGTAAGTCAAACTTTATTCAACTCATTCACAATAACCACATAAAATCGGTTCGAGGTCAGTAAGCACAACCAGAATTAATACATAAGGCGCACCCGATTATAAGGCTCACTGTCGATTTTTGAACAAATTAAAGGAGTTTAAGTGTGACTTATAGTCTGAAAAGTACGGTATATGTAAATTGCACATCCATCCATCCATCCATCCATCCATCCATCCATCCATCCATCCTTACCTTCTTTTTCCTTTTCCTTATGTGCCTTATAGTGTGTATATATATTTTTTTTTACAAGTGTATGAAAATTAAAGTGTTACTGTTTAAATTCTTGACAATGCACCTTGAGACTGTAGGCCCGAGCTGTGTTGTCTCCTGAACACGTGTACAGCAGCCCGTCATGAACCTGCAGGCCGTGAACCGGGCCGGCGTGACTGGCGAAGGACCCTAAAGATGGCTCGTCATCCTCACCAGACTCTAAAACGACACCATTTTTAGCCACAGTTCTCAAAGATGCATTTAAAAGTAAAGAGAAGGCGCAAAACTCACTTGGAGGAGCACTGGCATCGTTTCTTGACAAGACTGGAGGCTGAAATTTGCTGAGTGTCCAAAAAACACGAGACAATTATTAAATATTGCGACTAAAGTGAACTGAAAATGTCAGATTTGTGTCCCTAAAATGATCGGAGTGAACCTCACCTGTCGGGCTCATTTTGCTGACACGTCTGGGTGCTCGCAGAACTCAACTCCATGCCGACAGAGGTCAGCGGCTCCTCGGGCTGCTCTGCAGGATCCGCCTCAGCCGAGTTCTCCACGTCTGATTCGTCGATAGCTATGACCTCCAGGTTGGAATCGATCATTTCGACTGAGCTGTCGCTCTCGCTGCCGTCGTCGTTTTCATCAGACGGCTTCTTCTCTATTTTTATTGCTCCTTTAACTCCACCTTGGTTAACATTTCCCACAGACTCACTCTCAGGTGGTTGTGATTTTGTGGTCTTTCCACAGCTCTTCAGTCCGACGCCGGTCTCTTGCTGCTTCCTGGCAGACGATTCAGGAGCGGGCGACTTCGCTGATGTGGAGCTTTCTGCTGTGGGTTGTTGAGCAAAGGAAGTGGAGGCGGACGAGAGCGATGGTTGGAGCAGCGTTAGGGGAAGCACATAAGCAGGAAACGAGGGGGCAGGTTTGTTCAGAGGGACGTGAGGCCCATCAGCAGAGGAGGAGGCAGCGTTTGGACAAACAGCCGGTTCGGTTGTGGCAAAACGACAACTGACTTCCTGTTTTATGGACACTGCTGGCGTTGTGAGGGGAGCTGGAGGAGAGTGGGTGATGGATGATGCTGGGGCTGCAGCAGGTGGATGCGGGCTCGAGGATGAGGGGAAGGAACTTAAAGTAAAGGAGGATGGTGCCGCGATGGACGATGAGGCTGCGTCGGACCCTTTAGAGTAACCTTCTGAGGAAAGAGATGAAGACTTTGTTCATAAAATCAATGCGCTCCAATCTTTAAGTAAGCCACAAATATAAACAAACAGTTGCTCCTCGTGTCATTTCCATTATTTTATTATCCACATCCATGTTTTAAATAGAAAACGTATAAAAGTAAATTAACATCAAACTTTTCTTGGAGGCGTTTATGAGTTTTGGACAAGTTCTTCTTTCAGCTTTTCCCTCTTCAGGGGTCACTACAGCGAGTCATCCTTCTCCATCTCTGTCCCCTTCATCATCTGTCCTCACTCCAACTACCTCCATGTCCTCTCTAACTGCATCCATATATCTGCTCTTTGTCCTTTTTCCTGGCAGCTGCATTTCTAACATCCTTCTATCAATATACTCACGAGTTTTAGACAACTCTATGCCCTAAAATCATAAAACTGATTTAACAAATCTCACTTTGCCATTCCAAATCTATTCTTTAAATGTATCCACTCTATCATCGATTTACTCAACTGAGGGATGTTTTGCTGCAGCGCCCAATCCGTAAAATCTGTTCATAAATCAGACTAGATTGTTCCTTCGAGTGTTTGCAAGGTGTCCAGGACCAGAAGGAGGTAGCAACCCCAAACTACCGTACTTTCTGCCGTACACGTCGTACCGCCGTATAAGTCTCATCAGTCCAAATATGTCCAATAAAGTGGAAAAAAGCAAAAACGTCACTTAAGTCGCATCTATAATGCGTCACCGCTGATGCTTTGCATTTGTTACACGTCACCGTTGATCATGGGCCGGTGTACCAAAAATCGATTGGCTGTCAAATGGTGGCAGCGGGAGCGTGCACAGAAGGACTTTAACAAGAATTTAACACGATTAACACTAAAAAAACCAATATTTTTTTGCTCGAAATTATAGCAAAGGTGTGTCTCAGTTTAACTTTTCCTTCATTAATGCACTTTGATGGTCAAATCAGCTGCATTTCACCTGGGCGGCGAAATGCAGCTGATTTGACGTTTGCTCCAGGAGTTCCGGAGCGAGACAAAGGTGGCTTCGTATGGCAAGCCAAGTAGCCACTTTTACCTATTAATGAGACATTTGGATTGCCATATTACTCGAGGGCCCTCTAGTGGCTTAAAATTGTAGAGTTCTATATTTTCCATATCAGAATGAATGAAATCGTCAGATCTCAGACAAAAATTGGATTATAAATATGGGGAAAAACATAAATAAGTTGCTTCGCTGTATAAGTCGCAGGGCATGCTAATTTATGTAAATAGGTGCAACTTATACAGCGAAAAGTACGGTATTATAGTCCCTCCATAGTGCATCACATCTTGGATTAAGCTATACCGTATTGCTTTTCTTTCTTGAAATCCAAAATCTGAGACTTATATTCAGAAATAAATTAAGCAGAGGTAGGTTGGTGATCAGTGTCATGGTCTTGTGACAGAGACTGCAGGTTCAATTCCAGGTTGATGCAAAGCCACTCCCAAACCTCTCACGGTAGTTCACTTGCTGTGGTGACCACCGCAGAGAGGAGCAGCCAAAAGAAAAACAACATTTTGTAATAAAATGAACACTCATCGGTCAAAAAGAGACAAAAAAAACAAGTTATGGAAAATTTCCTTTTGAGGAATTTCTCATTTTGCACCTTTCGAGCATTTAGAGCTTTTATTGTGCTTTTTTTCTTACCTTGCATTCCCTGCAGGATCTCAATGCGCTTTGCTCTCAGACCGTTGACCTCAGCAGAAAACTAAGCGAGCAAATAAAACATTCATGTTAATTTACAGAGAGAGCACTTGGAGCAGAAAAACATTTGATATTTGACATGAGCATCTGCACCTGCTGTCTCAGTAGCAAAAGTCTTTGGACCTCTGCGTAGGCAGCTTGCAGAGCGTTGCGGGCCTGGATCAGAGATTTGTCCAATTCCTGCAACGAACGGCTCAACTCGTCTTCCTTCAGTGAGACGGCCAACAGCTCGTCCATCTGACTCTGGTCTGCAGATTAGGAAATTCATACACGTGTTAGATGCACTCTGAGGAAGAACAGAGACTCCCTCACTGATTGGAAGCCATTTTCCATCAAAAACAATTTTTTTATATTAAATTCTAATAACACTTGAGAGATGATAAATAAAACAGAATACAATGTAAAAAGTAAATCAGGTCAACCCACACATTAATATAAACACAAAAATATTACAAAGAGAAACTGAAATGCTAAAAGTCAGGCAGCTCCTAAACAAAAGTTACTGGGTGCTTGAGTCTCATTTCGTGTTTTCTTTGAATGCTTGAAGGTTACTTTCCCTCATGGATTTGCAAAACTGTGTTTGTACCGTTAGCAAAATATCCCATGAATCACTGAAACGACTTTAACGAAACTCTCCAAAGTAAATATTGGATTTACATCTACAGCTGATTAACTTTTGGAGTCAACACATTCCAAGATGGCCGCCCCAGCCAACTGACTTTAGTAAACACATATATGACTGTAACTCAGCCACTTTTACAAATACTGAGCTTAAATTGGCGTGGTAGTAGCTGAGCATCATCTAACACATCCTATCAGAACACCTTTACTAAACACCTTGGTATTAAAAGTTGGAGTGAACCCTGTTTGTTAGCAAAATATCTAATGAACTAGGGCGACAAATTTCAATGAAACTCCAATTATTGGATGTACAACTGATTAACTTTCTGTGTCAACGTGATTCAAGATGGCAGACACAGCTCACTTTCCTTAGCCTACACAAAAATGTCAAACGACCATAAATATTTGACAAATACTGAGCTACGTTTTGTGTGGTTGTAGCTGAGAGTCATACCCAAAATATGAGTGCTAACTGTTCACAAGATATCACGACATCACAAGAGAATGTGCATAAAGTTATTTTCGAAACACAGTAGTCCCTTGCTACTTGGCGGTTCGTTTATCGCGGACTCGCTCTATCGTGGTTTTTCGAAACAAGAGGGGACATGACACACAGTTGGCAGGTCGATGAATGAGCCGCACGATCGGCATGGAATTTTTTATTTTAAATTAATTATTTTAAATTATGGAGCACCTGCTGCACCTTTGTACAGCCCAAAAGCTTCTTCCTGCGTCTCTGTGCAGCCCATACTGCAGGATAAACTTCTTCCTGCAGCTGAACAGCTGATCAGCTGATATGCGTGTGCAGAGCGGAGAAGTGGGCGTGGCCAAGAACGCTTGTAGATGGCTGAGAGCAGCGGAGGCACAGAGAGGGAAATCATGACATTCTGTGCTCTGTTCGAGCGTTTAAAGTTTAGAAACATTGCGAGAGTGTGGGAAGGGTTTAAAATGCCATATATATATATATATATATATATATGTACACACACTATTGGTACTACTATTCTGGCATAAAATGTGGTGGGTGATATGCATTCCTTCAAGGAATGTTAGGTCTTTAATTTTATTAGGCTTTTAACAGATAATAACAGTGAAAGAGTATTTTAGAGACAAAACATGAAAGCTTTTATTAAGTTAATATTAAATAAAAGGCTTTTTTTGTTTAATCCAATTAAACATATTTCTTATTAAAACAATTTAACCTAAGAGTTTTTAGTTGTTTTTTTTTTTAACATAAATATTCTTATCCACAACAAAAAAAGTTTTAAAATTTAGCAGCATTACCTCTGTTTGACTTGGTTTTCTTCTTTTTCCCATCTGAACCACCATCACCCTGAAAGCACACACACAATAATGAAATAACACCCACTAAACTGGTCGCTGCAGCAAAGCTCAACATTAAAAAGCATCACTTACTGTCAACTTCAAACGTTTGCGTTTGCTGGAACCGTTCTCCTCCCTCAGGTCTTCCGTCTCACCTTCCACGTTTGGTTCTGCTTTAATAGAAACTTTTTTGACCGACCCGGTGCTGCAGGGCACCTGAGCTGCGTCTGGATCTTGTACCCGAGGAACCGTTTGAGTCTCTGTTGTGTCAGCGTCACTTGAAGGAGGCGGCTGGACTGAAGGGCTTTCTGAAAGTGGCTCCCAGTGGAAACCCTCAGACAGAGGAAGATCACCGACCAGTGCAGCGCTTTCTTTATCATCCGGACGGTTTACCAACTCAGTTCTAAACCTGTAAAATATAAAATACATGTGACATAAACAAGCAAAGAAGTGAAACCAAACAACTCACATCATGACGGAGTTCTCACCGGGACTTGTCTTTTAAGGTCTTCCCTTTCTTCTCATTGTACATCTCCCTCCAGCTTAATTTAGTCTTGGTTTCTGACAAGCTGAGCAACTTGTCCAGGACTTGTTTACATGCGGCTGAATTCTCCCCCTGAGCTGCTTTGTGGGCGATTCGGACTTTACGAGCGAGGCTCAAGTTGGGCCCAAAGGCTGCAACCTTGGGCGACTTCGAGGTGACTTTGGCCACCAGAGAGTCTCCTCCCTTGCTATTTCCATGTTCCTCTTCTGCTGTTGAATCCTTCTTGAAGAGCTGACTCGTTTCTTGCTTCTCTTTGAGACTTGCCCGTTTTGATTTACCAGGAGCGACACTGGAAGGAGCAGCAGAGGTGCCTGCCTGTGGAGCAACTGTAGTTGGAGTGGGGATGGTGGCGTCTGCTGGCTGCTCTGCATCTGTTTGTTGCACGCTGTTCCCATCAGCCGACCCAACACTGGCCTCGCTATTCTGCTTCCGGGCTTCCCGATCCGCTCGGCACGGCTCCCTCACGCCAAGCTCTTTCCTGATTTGCTTCAGCATGAAGTTGACGTCGACGTCCCGGATAGGAGCGGGGCTGGCAGGTGAGTTTGCTGAAGCAGGCTGAGTTGAACAGCCTGAACCTTCTGGCTGAGAGGACCCGGTGTTTGCGCTTTGGTTGAACTCAAACAGGAGAGGTTCCTTTCCAGAGAACTGATCACTGGCGAAGTTGCTTTGTGTTGCATAATTGTACTCTGTGTTGTAGTAGTTGGCCTGGTTGACTGCGGTAAATGCGTCTGGTGCGGGAACATTAAAGGAACCGATTTGGCAGTTATCTTGACTGTTAGGAAATCTGTAATTTTGGAAATTCCCAAACCTCAACTGGTTATTGACAAAAAAAGGAGCAAACTGGTTCTGAAAATAATGGTGACGAGGTTGACCTCTAAGCATTCCTCTGGGATAGTTTGGTCTCCAGCTTGCTTTGTGAAAAGGTGCTCCTCTGCAGTCAATAGGGCTTTGCAGGCCAGACATTTTGTTCTCCTTGTTTTGAAAAACAACACCGTTGCTTCCATTGTAGTGAGCTTGCTGCTGCTGTTTGGACATCCTTGGCTGCAGATGTGTGGAATTCCCTTTCGTCCCTCCTTGGGACCCCGAAGTCTTTTTCCTGGCAACACTGGGTTGCATCGCCCCATGCTTCTGCCCAGCTTCCTGCTTCTGTTTCTTTCTTTTCTTCTTCATTGTTTTCTTCCTAAAAATACACACACACATAAAAAAAAAAGAAAGAAACAAACCTACCAGGTATTTTTGTTCTCTCTAAACGATGGACATATTGAATTCTTACTCCTCTTTTTTCAGTGCCTTATTTCTCGTCATGATTCTGTGTATGGTCTCTTTACTCAGACTCTTGAACAGACTTTTGGGTGTGATGCATTCGGTCTTCAACTTCTTCAACTTCTCTTTGTGTTGAGTTGTTGAGACGTGCTTGGCAAACTCCTTTAAACCCAAAGACTTTACCTTACATGCCTGGCAATCATGAAAGGCATCCCTGTTTATAATAAGAAGTCATGTAAAAAAAAAGGATTAAACCACACTATATCATCGTCTTTATCAAGCTTCATTTCTATTTTCACGTGTTTTTGATTAGAGATACTCACTTGCCCAACACCGTCTCCAGCTCCCTGTGATGAAGCATACTATGCATATGGTCCTGTGCATTCTGCAATTAAAACACACAAGGTTAAGATCACAGCTTATTTAAGCAGAGAAAAAAAGCAACAAGGCTCTGCATTTCAGCAAGCTAGAATGTGTTAATTAAAGCCACTTACATATTTTAAATAAATTCTGCGACACAAAATACAGTAGATCTCTTTGACTTTCTTGGAGACTTGTGGAAATTCTTTATTCGCAGGTGTTTTAGGCACCTGTGGAGACTGAATGTGTGACATATCTGGGGGAAAAAAAGGTGAAATGAGTACAGATCGTATGGAATACGTGATGGAAAACGCTTAAATCAAGTCAAATAATTAATGCAGACACTGTCAGAACTGTTGAAAACGTTTGAAGTTAGCAGCTGCTCAGTAAATCTGTCCACATTTCAAATTATGCACCGCGATACAAAGCTAGGAGCATTCAGACAAGCTAAGAACTGAGTATTACACGAACAAATAATAGAATAATTATTAGAATATCACGAATACCTTCAAAATTCACATGGCAACAGAACCACACTGCTAATACGCCGCCATGTTTGCTAACGTATTTTACGCACGGCTTACGTCATTACGCCAAAGTCTACGCCGGAAGTTTAACAGTGCTAGCAGATCTACAAAAATATAGATAAGGTAAATCAGTGTTTTTTGCAACAACAAGATCGGTTAACATGTTCTACAGCTCTCATAAACTTCAAGGAGGTTGTTTCCGCTAAAGATTAGCTGAATGCTAACAGTTAACGGACTGTTACTTGCTTTTCCATTTATTTAAAATCAAATTTAAGCTAAAATGTGTGGCGGTTGTGTGCATAAAGAGTACCCGGACCGGGTAGGTTGACGCTGGTATAAGTATCTCATGTACTGTGACAAAATACGAGTTATTTGGACAGCTGCTAACATACTAGGTCTTACCCTAACTTTATTTCCGCTTATGCACCCAAAATTATGGATCTGAACTTTCCCCCTTTTATTTCTTGTTCAGGGCAACACTTGTCTGGAAAACGGATCCTACCTGATGAACTACCTGGGCTGTGCAAACTGCCACCAGAAGGACTTCGTGTTGATAAACAATAAAGCCATAAACGATGAAGATGGGGAGGAAATCGTCACTTATGACCGTGAGTGTGTCTGGGTATCATTCAGCCTCTAGATACTATGCTAAGAGTCCAGTGTTTGGACTTGTTTTAGTGATCATTTTAGTGGTGAATCCCAAAATAGTCTTGTAAATTAATAAACCGGTTCATGTGGCTGCAGCCAGGTACCTTAAAACTGGTTTGATAGTCTTTAAAGAAGACTTTTAAAACAGCAGCATGCCAGTAGTTTTGAGTATCATTGCCCAGTACTTTTGCCTAAGTTTTATCTGGCTGTTTGTAATCCATCTACAACACATTGTAGAAAAATCTCTATGTGTCTCTCTAGATGTCTGCAAAAATTGTGACCACGTCATCGCCAGACACGAGTACACCTTCTCTGTTGTCGACGAATATCAGGTAAATGATGGTGTCTGATTTATTTGTGAGCGAATCCTCATGTCTTATAGTTGTGTGTGGTCTTGTGCAGGAGTACACTATGCTCTGCATGCTGTGTGGAAAGGCAGAGGACTCCATCAGTGTGCTACCAGATGACCCCAGGCAGTCTGCACCTCTTTTCTAAACCCTGTAAGAAACCAAAACCGCAGTTTTAAGACTGTCAGCATGGACATGATGCTGGCTGCACATTCAGGACTCCAAACACAGTCACTCTATGTTGTTACACCATTGTTGATGCTAGAAGTTTATCACATTATGAATTACCACAGCATATTTTGTGGTTAGCTTTTGCAGTAGAGCAGGAATTACAGTACTGTATAACGTCTTTTAATACTAACTTTAATGATGAAAAAAACAACCAGATATTTTAATTGACATGGACTGTAAATAAACATTTTTTAAAACTGTTCTTTTACTGATTCTTACTTTACATCTGATTCTTTTCAAAAACAGAATGTTATGCAGTTATAGAACTCATAAAGTTCAAAGTTTAGCTATTTAAATGGCTAAATTATCCTAGTTTAATCAGTTTTTGCCAAGTAATGTTTGTTTGGCATGAGTATTGTCTGTTAAATGCAAAACAAACTAAATGTTACGATGCTTCTGATCTACAGCAACAAGAAAAAAGGCTTCTGATGGAAAACAAGATCTTAAAATTAGACTCATGCTGTCAGATTGAGTCACAATGAGGATTTTTTTCAATATTGAGTTATTTTATCTCAAAAGCTTGAAAATGTATAGTTTGTTGACATTTATCAGCTGGCAACAAGATAGTGGTTTACGCGAGCGTCGATTTTAAACCTTGATTGCTATTGGCCTGGAGGGATGTCGATGGGATTTCAGTGGTCTATTTGAACAAAAAAAGGAATCCTCACTTAATAATGACCCAAACATTATATGAAGGGATTTTCTGGCTCTACAGCAGTTGGCAGAGGAAAATGGTAAATTTTAAAGGAATTTGAAAGGAATACAAACAAAAGAGAAGTTTCTGAACATACCTGATAGAAAATTACACATTAGGAAGTTTATATGCAATTTAGTTACTGGGATAACTAGATTGTGTCTTTATGGGCTCATTTTTATACAAACCAGTTTCACCAAATATTATGGTACTTCCATGCTTTTGAAACTGCAGCCTGTGCTCAATCTGAATTATTTTGATAGCACAGATCACGAATATTGTCAATTCTTTACAAAAAGTGCTATTGATAAGTCTAGCATTGATTAACAGGAAATTAATTGCATATAATTTATTTTATACTAATCAGTATGCTGTTTTATGAACTGGACCAGTGTCTCAAGTCATAAGAGATTAGTTCTTGTCACTCATTGCCCAACAGACAGTGTGATCAGTCAGAACAAGTCGTTAGACTATATAATTTTTACAACAATTCTTCTGTACTGTGACGCTTCAGCTCTTTATCTTTTGCCCATTTCAGTCAGGTTAAGGGCTTTGCCCGGACCGCTGCAGCACCTGAATTTGCTGCGCTGCTTGTAAACACTTCTTTGCACGACTAAATTCAGGGTTTTCAGTTCCACGTTTGACTCAAACACTCAGTGAGCTCGAGGTGTTCCAAGTTTTTTTTAAAACAAACCCAAACCATCACCTCTTCGCCTCCATGCTCAGCTGATGTGAACCGTTACCGATTAAGAGTTCTGGTTGAAAATTCTTGGTGTAGCTTACGATGAACTACAACAAATCTCACAACAATGGAGGCACATCGTGTCTGAGAAGTGGCTCTTGAGCTTTCTGTAACTTTTTTTTTTTAAACGTTAAGGCGGCAAATGCATTTTTGTTACATTTTTAACTTTTCTGGAGACAAAATTTCTATGTTAACCCAGATAGATGCTATTATAAGCTAAAAGGTTCAAAGCTCAAATAATACCTCAGCTACAGCTCCAAATCCCAGATGAGTTGAAAAGGAGGTGCCGTGAATGCATTCCCGTCTACCCGGCGACGGTGCTCGAGTGTCTGACCGCTGAGATCCTGGAGCTGGTAGAAAACGCGGCTCGTGATAGCGGGAGGACCGGGATCGTCCCTCGGCACCTGCAGTTCCATCCGTGGGGACGAGGGGCTCGGCCGGCTGCTAGGAGTGGCCATTGCTCATGGAGTTCTGCCCAGGATTCAGGCAGTCCTGCTGGGTCCAAATCGGCATTTACAGCCAGCTTCTTCAGATCCGCTGTGGGACATACCGCTCACTACAAGAGATCCTTCCTGCCCACAGACAGCATCTATAACAACTCTTTAATGAAACCAGGATGATGAACTACAACAATTAATTTCCCTTTGGGATTAATAAAGTATTTTTGAATTTGAATTGAATTAAAGGAGAGCCCAAAAGATCATCCATCAGCTTTTATTGAAACACATTTATCCATTTCTGTCCGCATTTTTCAGCTTCCTGTCCATTTCAGCAGCTTAACACTGATTTAACATCATCTTCCTCCAGCATTCAGTCCACCGCTCCTTCAGCATTTCCCACCGCCTCCATCACCGAATGAATTGCCAAGAATCGGAAAGATTAGACGCTCTGCTTTCGTGAGATACAATGAAAATGTGAGTCATTGCTGGTCTATGTCGTGATGTATTTTGATCAGAAGCAGCTCAATAAAAATACAGATGCTTTCAGCTGATTGTACAAATAAAAAAACATTAGCAAGAATATTCATGCATGCTTACAATAGTTAAATGAGTGCACTTAAAATGTACATTCTAATATGCTGATGGTGGCCACGTGATAAAACTATTCGAGTAAAGTAAAAGTACACACAACACTAAGCTATGCTAAAATGAGCATCTCATTGTTAAATATTAAATTAACATTGTGAGACTGCATGCTTTGACTTTGTACATGAATGCTTGGTTCAGTTTACAACTTGTTTTCTTTATTACTATAGTGTTTTTAGATTAGATACAGGATTTCATAGTCAGCGGTAGCCGTTTTCCTAATGGTACATATCTACAGTTACAATTTTTTTACATCCCTCAAGCTTTAAACTTGATTTTTTTTTTTGGTCTCGTTAGGACTACATAGAGTTTTATTAGAGGAATAAAACGAGAGGTAAACATTGGCAAGCTCAAGATTCTCTCAACATTTTCCCATGTTCAAATAAATAAATAAATACAATTTATCATACATTTTACATTACATACAGTACATTCCCTCGGGTTATGCCTTATTTACACATGCTATCGGGGACTGGCGGTGAGGCAGCCTCTCCACAGTTGCGCAGTCAATCTGTTTTGTTAGAATGCAGTCATCGAGTCAATTTTCCTTTAGCCTCGTGGAGTGGAGCTTTTCCTCTGGAGCCGTAGCTCCACTGACCTGGTTCTGTGGTTCTGTACTGCGGCTGAGCGTGCCGAGGAGGGGAGCCCGAGAGGCTGGAAGGCGAGCGGCTGCGCCCCTGCTGCAGCGTCACGTTCTCTCGGAGCTCGTGTCGGGAGGGGGAGGAGCTTAGAGAGCGTTGGAGGGAGGAGGAGCAGCGAGGGCGAGGAGGAGGGCTGAGGAGCAGCCCGCTGCGGTCCTGCATCAGCTGCGTCAGTGTGGCCAGGAAGTCTGCGTCGCTGGTGCTGCTGGCTCGCACCCTCAACCGCCGCCGTCTGGAGAAAAGAACAGAGGAGGAAAATCTGAGTGGGTCCTCGTTTTGTTCACAGCTCCGTGTGGTGGACGCAAACAAACTGCGGACACTTAATAGATAAATGTGTGAAGACATAAATTCTGAATTTGTTTCAGAGTAAGGGTAATTTTTAAAAAGCAGGTGGGAACATGTTTACAGGATAAAAACCTGACTACAGCAATAATAAAGGCCTGCAGTGTGATGGGTTCTACATAAAAAAGGCTAATTATTCTTAATAGAGGAAATCGTAAATGGTTTCAATAAGAAAAGTAGTTTGGAGGCTTTACACGCACCTTTATTATACATCTGAAAAAGTGTGCCTGTGGCAGTAAACATTACTTTATAATAGAAGTAAACTATCATGGGGAGCAAAATCAATAACTGCTGAGTAGGGATGTCCTGATCGAGGCGTTTTCACGTTTGGTTTTAAAATAGCTGAGCACACTCCTCCTGTTTTCTGCTATGGTTGTTCACCAGCCGTGCCATAAAACCGTATGCAAACTGCCTGTCTGTGATATGAAAGTCTGTTCAAACCCAAACAGAACAGTTCGGCAGCTGCTTGCAACCTTTACTATTTGGTTATGTCTGGTAGCTGTAGTGATAAAGCTGCATTACAGTTGTCCCTCACTACTTCGCGGTTCGTTTATCACGGACTCGCTCTATCGTGGTTTTTCAAAATAAGATTGGACATGACACACAATTGGCTGATTGATGGATGAGCCGCACGATCGGCATGGAATTTTTATTTAAAATAAATTATTTTAAATTATTTAGCACCTGCTGCACTTTTGTGCAGCCCACACTGCAGAATAAACTTCCTGCTGCAGCTGATTTGCTGTCCTCCGTGCAGAGCGTAGAAGTGGGCGTGGCCAAGAGCACTTGCAGGTGGCTGAGAGCAGCGGAGGCAGGGAGCTGAAATCATGTGCTCCTTTAGAGCATTTACAATAATTGTTTAGAATATTGCAAGAGTGTGGGAAGGGTTTAAATGCCTTAATATATATTATATATAAATACTAAAATAAACTACTACTTACTACTTGTAGTGCTTAGTGGATTCGTAGTTTAGCGTATTTCTTAGTTCATATTTTAGCTCTTATTACTGTTTTTCTTTATAATTTGTATTTTTGTTGGATGTAACTGGGACCCTGACCCTGTGTACATAGTTTCGTTCCACTTCATGTACAACATGTGATGTGAATGACAATAAAGAACATTGAATCCTTGTACTATTATTCCTACTTGGTGGTTTTTCACTTATCGTGGGGATTCAGGGTACGGATCCCCTGTGATAAATGAAGGACTACTGTATATACTTTATACACACAATCTTAAATCCTTGCTTAGGACAAAAGAAACGTTGACAAACTGTCTCAAAAGAATATGTGCTTCTGACAAAAATTTGGCTAAAAATAAATTTTAAAGGCTTGAAGACCTTTATGTTCAAATAAATGACAAAGGCTAAGAATTTCAAGAGAATCATTCATTCAAATAATTTTAAAACAGCTAAATGCTACGCCCTATTCATCTGTCAAAACAAATTAATGCCGGTAGCTTCTGCAATCCTGAGGTAATTATTAAATGATCCGGCTTGGATGAATCTGAAGTTTTTTCTATTTCAATGCTGCATTAGAAGCCTGATGCTCACAAAAGACAAGCCCTGAAGGAAACAGCTGAGACTAGAAACAGTGAAACAAAAGGTTATCTTGGAAAATCTTTCCTTTATGGAGGTTGTAACAGTGATCCGAGCCCGTTGGGCCCAAACAGAACCTCTTTCTTGCCACATCACATTACAAAGCAGCAGTTTGCTGCTCATGTCTTTTCTTTGCACAGACTTTTAGCGGTGCACGTACCTGTTGTCCACATTTGGGCGGATGGGCGGTTTCCCTGGAGGTGGTCGAGGCAAAAACCGGCTAGTGAGCTGCTCTGGGAGAAACGTGGCACTCACAGGGCGGGGGATTTTACTTTTACTTCCTGAAGAGGAAGACAGGGACAGAGGGTCTTCTCCTGCGCAGTCGGACCTAGAGCCCCGCTCCGAGGAGAGCCTGTCTCTCGGCAGGGCGCAGGGAAGGTTGTCGCAGGACAGAGACGGAGAGGGTGAGTGCGTCGGCGAGCCGGGAGCCGGGCTGCTCCAGCGGTGACGCCTATCCACGTTCGGGTCTCTGCTCGGAGAGTCCAATGGGTTGCTGGGATCTCGTACTGGGATTCGACTCAGTCTCGGGGACAATGGAGAGTCTCTTCGCCTGAGCAGAGCTGGAGGTGGAGAAGAGGAGACTGTGACGGTGCTCTCCACAGCGCCACCTGCTGTGTCTGCTTGAGGATGCTGATTCGGCTCCGAGGAGCGATCGGGCAGACCAGAATCGCTCTCTGGGTCTCTGTCGTTGGTCAGATGAACCGTGGGGCCTTTGGCGGGATTTAACACGGGGGCCGAGTCCACTTTCCCCCCATTTTTTAAACTTTCCTCTACAAGTTCCTCTAATTTACAGGATGATTCCTCAGGTGGAGCTGTGCTGCTCTTCTGTACAGGTGAGCATTTTTCACCGCTGGAGGTCTGAGAACAAATAAATTATCATTAAACCTTTAGAAAAGCTTAAAAACTAATATTTAAAATGTATTTTTGTTTCTTTCTAAATTTCTAAACTATTAGGAATCAGATGCAATAAGTTACACGTGTGTTAGAACCACTAACTAGTTTGAATCAATTATTTAAAATATTAGTTCAACTACCGGTAAGTATATATTTGTAGTCAAAATATTTTTTTTCAAAGTGGTCACCACTTTTTTATTTCATGCCTTTCTGCACATTTTCTTCCTCCTTTAAACATCAGTGTTTGTATACCTACTTACAGTAAAACACAGTTTGGAGCTGCCCTTGAGTTTAAACCTTTTTGTCAAGTTTATTTTCACAGTCCTCGCACTTTAACAAAAAAAGTTTTATTGCCTTACCTGCTCCATCTGCGTTCTTCCCATCATGACTGAAGGCATTTGACCCAGCACCCCTGGCAGCCTCCGGTGGCCCAGTAACCATGTGCAGGGCATGGCCATCTGCGACAGGACGGGGCTGCTGGGCACTGCAAGGCTTGTTTGGCCCTCCTGCTGCTCCGAGGAGTGATTCTCAGATTCAGCAGCAGCGCGAGCCCCCAGCTTGTTCTCGTGATGAGCGTCTGTCTGAGGCTTGCATCCTCCAGAGCTGCTGGCTTGCTCTAGCTCCAGCATCACCCACTCCTGAGAGTTTGTTTCCTGAGGTACAGGGCTGAAGTTTACAGCCACGAAGCCACTGCTCGCTGCGCCATCTTCTGGGTCGGGAGTTGCTGTGCCGGATCGCTCCTCGTTGCAGGAAGCCATCTGCTGTCCGTGCCCCTTCTCTGGTATGGGTTTCTCCTCAACATGACAAAGGACAGGACGCTGTTTGCCTAGACTAAAAAAATAGATTCAAACATGGGTTTGCATCTGTTTTAGATTTTGTTTTGGATTATTGTATTTGTACAGGGCACTTACTAGGCCTCAAGGAAGCGTTCGATGGTGGGCTTTGGTTCAGGAGCGAGCCGCTTTTCAAATGCCAAACTCTGGCTGTGCCTCATCCTGCGGAGCAGAGGTGCAGCACGATCCAAGAACATGGTCTCTGACCGCACCCGTCTTGGTGAACTCTGCATGGAGCCAGTGTTGGGGCTCTGGTTCCCCTGGTTCTGACTATGTTCATCCTCACTCACGACCTGAGGGGAACAAATGACAAACAAGGCTGAAAACTTAAACATTACAAAAATCAGTAGCAGAATACTGATCTTCGAATAAAGAGAAAGGCAGTCCAATTTTTTTCTCAAAAGATGGAATCTCACTGGTGACGAGTTGACGAACAGCATTTACGAATCTCCAGAATGTCTTGCAATATCTGTGGGGCTCTCAAGTCCATCGCTTGAGTCTTCGAGGCTCATAGTCCTAACACGTGAGTTTTGAAAATGTTCAAAACATTTGTGCAACAAGTTTTCTCTCTAAATAGTCACAGAGAGTCCTTAAGAGTGTCTTGAACCCTTTTCAAGTTTGTTGTGAGTGTCTCCAACTCATCTCACAGAGAACTGGAGCTGTATCTTTACATCTGCACGAGAACTCTCCTCCGACAAAACATATCAAGGTAAAAAAAATAACCAAAAGGATCAGTTTTCATGTTTAAAAACTGGTCCAAATCTGTATACAGTTGTCCCTCGCTACCTCGCGGTTCGTTTATAGCAGACTCGCTCTACCGCGGTTTTTCAAAATAAGATTGGACATGACACACAATTGGCTGATTGATGGATGAGCCGCACGATCAGCATGGAATTTTTATTTAAAATAAATTATTTTAAATTATTTAGCACCTCCAGGACCTTTGTGCAGCCCATGCTGCAGGATAAACTTCCTGCTGCAGCTGATCAGCTGTTCTCTGTGCAGAGCTGAGAAGTGGGTGTGGCCAAGAGCGCTTGCAGGTGGCAAAGAGCAGACGAGGCAGAGAGCTGAAATCATGACATGCTGTGCTCTGTTAGAGCTTTAGAGTTTAGAAACATTGTTTAGAATATTGCAAGAGTGTGGTAAGGGTTTAAAATGCCTTTATATATGTACTGTATATATAAATACTAAAATAAATTACTAATTGTACTACTATTCCTACTTCGCGGTTTTTCACTTATTGCAGGGCTTCAGGGTACGGATCCCCCGTGATAAACAAGGGCCTACTGTACCTACTGTACCTTCATTTAAAAAGTAGAATACTGTACATAAAAAAAAAACAAGGGCGACTGCCAAGATGGATACAAAAGCAAGCTGAGTGGGGTACAATGTGGGCAGGAGTAAAAAGTAAAAGTATGCAGCCTAAAATGCAGTTTTGCAAGCCTTGTGCACAAAACAAACTGAGATTTTCAAACTTTGGTCAAGTAAAATGCAGCCTGCTGGTCACATATACTCATTATTCAGTGAGACTGCTACTGAAAATTTAGACTGTTTTCTCTCAATATTCAGTCAAGTTTGGATCGTCAACTAATTTAACAATCACAGCCCAGTGAGATACCACCTGAAGTATCAGCAGACTGGATTATTAGAGGCTTCAGTACTTGCCAGCAGTAAAAAATGGAAGTAACATAAGTTTGGTAATTGTAAGTCAGGTGAAATGAATGTGTTAAATTTATGCGAGAACAATATGGTAATGTACTCAGGACTCCTGAGACGTGAACACACACTGTGCTGTGTGCATCTCACTACACGCAGTGGTTACATTAATAATACAGTAGTTCAGAACTAAAAGCTTCAATGTGAACGTTAAAAGCAAACAGCACCTCTCCAACCTTTCTGAGCATCGGCTGAGCGTGTTTATGGTTCCGATTGCGGTCCATCTCTTCCCATACGTCTCCACCAGGAGTGGTCGGGGTGGGGATGGGAGGGCAGTTGTCAGCGTCGCTGAGGCGTTCCCCTTGAAGGACATCCTCTGTGTTTTCTCTCTGCAGCTCGCCTGGCAACACTGAAGCATTGGCCATGCTGTGGATGAAAAGGAAAGGTGACCCAGCAGCTCATTTCTATGACACAATTTAGAGCAGTAATTTCTCAGGGATCTCTGACAGTGCAGTTTTTTTTTTTTTACGTCTAAAATAAAAGCAGCAGCTCAATTGCATATTGGAATCAACGGAGTGTGAAGGTAGACTGAAGAGCATGAATAAAAGTGCAACATTGAAAATAAAAAAAACAAAGGCATGAATGTCAAAAGTGGTATGTTTTAGCTTTCAGTACCCGAGGTAAGCTGGGGTGAGGCGAGTGAGCTGCTGAGCAGTGTTGGCTGCTGCAGTGATGGTCAGCAAATCCTCTGAATCACATTTCTCCCAGTCATAGGGGTCATTCTCCAGCACGTTGTGGCTCTTCATGGCCTTCTCAAACACTGACATCAGGAGCTGTGACATGGGAAACAAAAAGATAACCCAACAGAGCATGTGCATCAGTGTTTGATAGCAAGAGAGAGAATAAATTATACAAATCTACTAAATAAAAAAGATCACCTGATAGTCAGGCTTAGTGAAGTAGTCCAAAGCCAGGATATGATCCAGAAAAGTACTGAACTCTGATGGAAGGTGCTTCAGCATGAGTCGATGGTCATGCGTTTCTTTCAGATTTCCTACTTGTTCCTGAAATCAGAGGGGTTAAGCGGATGGAATCACCCGTGCAGTATGATTTTATATTAAAGAAGCCATAAAAGTGCATACTTTGTCTTTAATTTTCCTCCAGGGAAGTTGTCCAACCATAAACTCCACCAGCATGTAGAAAAGGGACCACAGGTCGTCATGACGACCCATCTCCTGTATGTGCAGACACAGAAGTGTTAATAACAAGAACAGTCAGTAGAACATGTTCATTGGGTAGAAACAAATGGGTTTTTGATTGCATACTCTCAGATATAATAACTGAACACACACAAAAACAGGTTTCTATTTATATGAAAAATCATGCATCAAAAGGTTAAAGACACTAATTTTATGTATAACTTCAATTTAGTCCAAGTATGAAACGTCTGATTTAACATGTTTGCAAGATTTTTAATTCAAAGCCCAAAGTGTAGCATGAGCATTCAGCTGCTAAGCTGCTAATTTTGTGACTAAAGGAAGCAGACACAATGATGTTCACCTCTCTTTTTGCATCCGTGCATTTATAAAAACTTGCCTTTCAGTTTCAATCTGAGGAACCAAGTTTTTAATAAATCACAGACTTATTTACAGATATTACTGCAAAACTATTATCAGTTAACATGCTGCGAGAAGGACACACAAATGCTGCGACACTGGCAGGAGAAGTGAAAAGCAGATGTTTCTCAATTTGTGCATTGTTTTAATTCTGTTAGATAACTGTAGATGAATCTGTGCTCAACCCTCACCTTGTTCTTGTGGGCATTGATTGACGCGTACCGCACAGTTCCTCTGAAACCTGCCACAGGACGAGGCTGAAACAGAACAGATACTTAGAACGGAAAACAAAGAGTCAAAAGACAGAATTAAACTAAATTTAAAAACCCTTAAACCTATAGATGCACGATATTGGATTTTTGACCGATATCCGATATGCCAATATGTTAAAACTTATTTGGCCGATAACCGATACCAATATCGATATTTTTTCCCCTAGACCTACTTACAGAGACTACATAGCTTTCTCTGCTGTGGAATTAAAATACTTCATTATTCTCCATGGTATTTGTCAATTTGGTCTGCTACCAAATGCAGATTCCAAAAAGGCTGAAAATGAAGTAACACTTCAACTTTGTCAAATTTATTCATGACATTTACTCTCTCTAACACAATGACAACACTCGAACAGTGCAAATTTGTAAATTTTTACAAATCTAAACTCAACCTATTCACAAGTGACAAGTGAAAAGTGCATACGTAGTAGTGCATTAGATATACTTGACCGTTTCTTAAATTAAGAATTAACTTAAAACAGAAGCCTTTCATATCAGCGAGTTGTTTTGATGGAATGGCGGATGTCCGATATTTAACTTTATCACTAATATCATCCGATACCGATACCATGCCGATAATATCGTGCATCCCTACTTAAACCATTTAGGTATATTTTAACTCCTACATATGAAGCAGCTGACATTGACAATTTAGGTTACGCACAGGTTCATAGCGACGAAAATAAAGTGGAGCACTTACAGGACGGACTTCTTGGTTGGAGTTGGTAAACTGACGAGCCAAACCAAAATCAAGCATATAGCAGCATCTGCAGGTACTAGCAAGTCTTCCCATGGCAAAGTTCGACTTCAAAGTTAACAGGAAAGAAATGAAGATTACTGAGCTGTCCTTAAGATTTTGTTTGAGATAAGCAGTTGATTTATTTAGCAGAAAAAAAAGAAGAGGCTTCATCCCACCTGCATGGGAACTTACTGGCTTAATATCGCGGTGCAGAAATCCGACAGAGTGGATGCTTTCAATGGCCTCTAAGATCTGCTTGCCGAGTCTTAAAGTTGTGGAGACGGAGAAGGTGCCGCGGGTCATTGTTCTGCGCAAATCAGCCAGATTCCTCCCCTTTAGACACACAAATGTATTAATGAGCATTAAAGTGTTGTGAGGCGAATTACAAACAGAAACACTGAGCGAGTGTTCGGGATCTTACCTGGAGTTCCATCACCACGTAGTTGAAGCGATCGTTCCTGCCGCAGCCCACAAATCGACACACGTGGTCTTTTCCTGATAAAGAACATCTGTTAATGCGCTCGCTCACTGCTCAGACAGACCAAAATCTCTATTCCTCCAAATGTTAATGAACTGCAGTATCAACTGTTTATTGATTTATAGTTATAGGGATGAGCAGGTTTGCATATAGTAATACAAATAACATGCTCATATAAATAATACATATAATCACAAACACTGGTAATGTGACGCAAGAAATAACACATATTTTAGTGTTTAGGACACTAAGCTAGAAATATTTATTATTATGTTATACAGCATGATTTTGACACATCAGAGGTCTCTGTGTTTATGTGAATTATTTCACTTGATGCTTCCTTAATAGAACGAATAAACCTGAAAGTGTGAAATTAAGCATTTAACAAAATAATTTCTGTCTATCAGTTAATAAAAAGAGCTTGATGAAAGAGATATCACTTTATTGTGAGTTTTTCATGTCTGCAAAGTTTAATGGGAACAAGTGTTTAACTCTGGGAACGCTACTTCCACTACTCAACAGAAGGCATTTAAAAAAAAAAGCCTATATTGATATTAATGCTGTGAATTTCCTTGCAAAGTCAAACTCTACTGGATTGCAGGTGGCACATTCTGGTTTTGAGATAAAAAAGGATACAAAAGGATAACTTAAAAGAGCTCATTTGAAGCAAAAAATATTAGAACAAGGCACTGACATCACTAATGTAAAACTAACAGTGGCCCAATCGACAATCTTAGTCCCAGAAAAACACCAACAGCTGTTTGGCGTGACTTACCTTGAAGTTTCTTCAGCACAGCCACCTCCATCTTTAGCACTTGTTTGGGTTGCTGAGCAGACTCAACTTTTAAGGCTACGGTGGCCTGGCTCAACTGATCCAGAACTTCGTAGATCTCTCCAAAGCCTCCTCCTCCTATCTTCCTTATCTAAAAACGGATGCATTGTTAAACTGGCCTGTAAACCATCAGGATCTTCCATCTCCTCACCCATAGTGACACCTACCACTTTCCACCTGTCCCGGACCACATCTCCCACTGACAGGATGTCCGTGTGCTCTGCAGCTCCACTCATCCTGAGGGTCTTCAGCCTCCAGCTGGCATCAGTGTCACGGGTTCTTCGCTGAAAAACAAGATCTTAAACTTAGTGCATCAGATTAAAAAAAAAAAATAGAGCAGAAACGGAACTGCCTGCATGTCACTGCGCATATCACGTCGTCCGGGGCAGCACATTTAAAGCGCCAGGCTAGTAGATGGTACCTATAGCAATGGTTGTTGGTTCCTCTGCCGCAGAATCAAAACATTAACATTACAGCTATCAGCGCAGCCGCAGTCACGCCTCAGAAATGCCTCTCAAGCAGCCATAAAAGATAACTCGGCGAAAAGCTAATCTCGGCTGTGGGGTTCAAACGATGCGGCAGCTAATTAGCATACTTCGTTGTGGGATATCGGTTAGGAGGCAAACTAGCTCCCTGACCTCGCTTACCTCACTTCGCTACACCTTCATGATGCCAGTTAGCTTGTAAAATTGTCGCCATCTTCCCAAACAGCCCAGAGCCACTCGAGTCATCTTCAGCGGCTGTTCGTTTGAAGAATGAAACAGCGGTGAACCATGGCTAGGATTAGCTGCCCCGTTAGCCACCAAGCTGCCTACCGCCGCTGCTAATCGGGAAAGATTGTGACGTCACATCGTTTGTGTTTTCTGATTGGTCAGAAAACTCCTGCATCCGAGAGGAGTTGTCAATACAATAGTTCGTGATTCTCTGTCTGGCAACCCTGTACTGCTGTAACAACTTAGTAACAACATAGTCAAACACTTTTTGATATTTACAATACAAACCATTCAGTCATCTGAACTTATGTGCATGTTTTTGGTCTGTGGGAGGAAACCGGAGTGACCGGAGAAAATCCACGCACGGGTAAAACATGCAAACTCCACTCAGAATGTCCAAAATAAAAGTTAAAGCAGCAAAATGAAAGCTAAAATATGCAAAACACTTGCAAATGTCTAAAAGGAGCAAAACTTTAGCTAAGAGGCAAAAGTAACAAAATGACTGATAAATACAAAAAAAAAAAAGCTAGAAAAAAGTAGCAAAAAGGCTATAGCTAAAAGTTAAAACTGGCAAAATGTACGCTACAAGTAGCAAAATATTTGCTTAAAGCAAAAAAATGTGCAAAACCCTAGCTAAAAGCAAAAAGTAGCAAAAATGCTAGCACAACATTTAAAGTAGTAAAAAACAAAGGGAAAGTAGATCAGTAGTTAAAAGCTAAAAATAGCAAAGTACGGCCTAAAAGCTGGGCACCTCCCTAGGGAGGTGCTTCAGCCATTTCCACCTTGGAGGAGACCCCAGGGAAGACCCAGGACATGCTGGAGACTATTTCGGTTGGCCTGGGAACGCCTTGGGTTCCCCCCAGAAAAGGTGGAAGAGGTGGCTGTGGAAAGAGATGTCTGGGCGTCCCTGCTCAATGTGCTGCCCCCACGACCCAACTTCGGAACAAGCGGAAGATAATGGATGGATGGATTGATAAATGCCTAAAAGCAGAGTTGCAGCCAGACAGCTAACACAAAAAGACCTAAACAAAGCAAGTTTGTTGAAGCAGATATGAAAGAGCAAAGAGAATGGCAAGAATTAGGCAAAAGGCCATTCTCCTACTTTGCTCATGTATCCTGGAATATCTTGCAAAAAGATCTGAGCTCTTGACCGTGACCTCTTAAGTGGCTTCAAACATCTGCTAAGTTCATGGGGAAAACCAATGCAGACAAGTTCCTGTTTTTAGTTTTCTACATTGCTTTACAATCTGTTTTTTGTTTTGTTTTTTTAAATACCATTTTCTTTCATTTGTTCTTCTCAAGTTGTATGCTTTCTTTTATGATTGTCTGTTGTCTAGCTGTTGTCATCATTCTTTATTGAAATCAGGTCTCTTGTAAATGAGTCCCTGAGGCTCAATGGGACTAACCTATATAAATAAAGGTTGAATGAATGAATTAAAGCGATCTCGGTGTAAAAATTTGGGGAAAATATCTATAAACAAATCTAAAAAAGTTAAATCTGGTCCTCTGGACATTCAAAAAAAAAAAAAAAAAGCAAAACAACAACAAAAATGTAGAAACGTTTCGTCTTTCATCCGAAAGACTTCCTCAGTCTGAGGATTTACATTTTTTTGTTGTTGTTTTGCTTTGTTGTTTTTTTGAATGTCCAGAGGACCAGATTTAACTTTTTTTAGATTTTTCTACCTGGATTATTGAGCATGCATCAGGATATCTATAAACAAAGTTAAACATTTAGAAAAATTAGCCTTTTCTTTTTTTTTACGATTGACTAAATTAGCTCAAGGTAAGCACATAACGTACTGAAAGTGTATACTTTGATTGCATAACACAAAATATTAAAACAAATAATGTGGGTGTTTGTTTTAATCTCAGCGTGTCTAAAATCTCGACCGCCGCTATGAATTTACCCAGTAACCCCGCATTCAGGACGACCTAAACAACTAAACAAACGCATACGGATGTAACTATGGGCGTGGTCAAAATAACCGGATGTGGGTTGAACTGACTTGGGGCGAGGCGTTGCGTTCGCGAGCGTCAAACGTTTAGCGCGTTTGCGCAGTTTCGCAGCTCAAAACAAACCCTGTCGGTGTTTGCGGAACTCTTCCTCCGCGGTGTTTAAATCAGAGAAAATACCCGCAGCCGCCGTGGCGCGGCAGCATTTTCACACCGCCTCATGCGCGTTTCACCCGATCATACTGTTGCGGGAGGTGGCGAGGGGGGGAGAAAGTTGTGGACATGTTTTCCTGGAAGTGCACGATTTTACGGATCCGCTGTGCAACGTTGCTGTAACTACGACGTTGAGAAGGTTTTTTTAACGCCCGTCGGGACCTTCGCAGGGTCTTTCCGTGTTGCCGTCGAGCCGCCTTGTTCGCCATATTGTGCGCGGTGAAACTCGATGGAAAGTTGTCAAGAGTTATGACACTCGCTGCGCACAGACCCTTCTTCTTTTTCTCCTTCGTCATGGAGCTGCGCGCAGTCGACTTTGATCGAACCCGAGGTGACTCCATGGAGCTGTTCGCGGACAGTCCTGTGCGCCAGTGAGAAGGTACAACGTCCTAAATAACGCTCGCTAATCTGCGGCGTTGCCTAACGGCGCTCAGCTCTGACGCTTCCTTATTGCTCATTTGTGACATTACTGGCTATCGCTCGGGTGGTTGCACGAGCCCCTTCGTTTCCTGTATTTCTTGTTATGCCAAATAATGGCAGCTCCTCTGACTTCACGCGCCTCCTTGTCGCTGCTGTCTCACAACTTCAGCTTGTGTAATAATCTCCTCTGCACGCACCTTCGTCCAAATAATATATCTTTTTTTCTGCTTTGTTTCTAATTTTGCACTTCCCAGACGGGGCTGTTTGCTGCTGTAGGCCGCAGTTTCCTCTTTGCTGCTGCTGGCGACTGTGAGTGGACTGAACTCTTCATGCTTCTCCTTTAAAGACACATTTATGACTCTCCCTTCTCTCACAATAAGGTCTGGCTCCCCGAGGAGGAGGATGAAAATGGACAGCAGAGCTCGGATTTAATTGCTGAGAAGTGGGCTGCATGTACCCCACCCTGCACTTTCCTTTGGGATTTATGCTTCCTCCCAGATACCTCTGTCTACACAATTAAAGTATTTGACAGCCGAAGCACACTACAGAGGGCATCGACCAAGTTTTGCACGCTCAGAGATTCAGACTGAGGACATTTGCTTATCTTACATATTGCTATGAGTCTCCCATCTCAAGTTAACACTGACAAGAGCAAGCATCAGACTCCGGCCATGAAAGAGGCTGTGCAGCACTCGGGGGAGGTTTATTTTGGTATGGGACCTCCGGTTTTAAAGACAAGTCACAGCGACTCTGCAGGCGGCTCTGGAGTTGGTCACCAAAGTCTGCCCCATTATCAACAGGCTGCTCCTGTTAAATGGATTCAGGACCCCATACAGGCGCCCGGCTGGTCTCAGGAAGCTCCCATGCCGACCTGGGGACAGAACTTTGGCCCCTACATGAGTGGCGTAAGGGATCAAATGACCTTCCACAAGGGAGGCCATGAGGGTGTGGCGATGCCGATGGGAAGGGAAAACCAGCTGCCGGCACCCGTGGAGGCTTACAGAGATGCCACCCAGGCTCAAACTCAAGGTGGGGGGCTGGAGTGGGGGCAGCATGCCGCCACCGTTGCTGCGATGCATCAGGCTCAGCTGCAAGCCTATCAACACGGCCAGGGTCAACCTCACACGGTGCAGGCCCCCGTTCTGCAACCGTTCCAGGCATCGTTTAGGCCCAGCAAGTTCTCATCCAATTACTACTCCGTTTTCCCGGGAAACAAGCCAGTGGTGTACAGCGAGCAGCCTAAACCTCAGCAGCAGCAACTTCTGCACCCAGTGCAGCAGCAACAAATGCACCACCATCAGCAACAACAGCAGCAGCAGCAACACATGCATCAACTTCAGCTTCAGCAGCAGCAGCAGCAACAACAGCATATGCAGCAACAACAAATCCAACAGCAACAAATGCAACAGCAGCAGCTGCAGCAAATGCAGCAGCAATATCACCAGCAACAGCTGCAGGAGCAACAACAACAAATTCAGCAGCAGCAACAAATGCAACAACAAAATATTCTACAGCAAGAAACAACACAATCTCAGGTGCAGCTAAAACAACAGAGCCAAACCTTTGGCGCTTTTCAGCCTCCGGACCTCCTTCCACCTGACTCGGGGGCTAAAAACGACGACGCGCAATCAGTGGAGCCACAGGCGCAACTAAAGGCTCAAACTGGCAACGCGTCAGCTTTACCTGATCAGGACGCTGAGATAGCTGCCACAAACCCTGCGGACTCTGCAGCCTCAGCGGCCCCTCGGCGCTCGCGTCGCCTTTCCAGAGAGGGACAGTCCCCGCTGGGCCCCCCTTCCACAAACATTTGGTCTCAAGCCTCCAAAGAGCCACCGCCATCCCAAAATGGAGTCACAGGCGTGCCAGCAGCGAGAGGTGGAGAGAACCAGGCGGCAACAGGAGGAGTCATCCAGATCACCCGCAGGAGGAGGAGAGCATCCAAGGAGATCAACTTGGAGACTCTTGCTCAGAAGGCATCGGAAATGGAATCCCTGCCTGCTAAAACTGTCAAGGTTGAAAAAAATATGTATATTTACTCTCCTGGTGCAACAATTTATTAACTTGAGGCACAAATAGGGTCAACTACAACTTAAATACTGACTTTAGGTTAAGTAAACATAAGGGGGACCAACAAAGATGGCTAATTTATGCAAATGATGGCAAGTTTTCTGCTCTGGCTAAATCGGCAAGCAGTTGTACAAAGAGGAAGAGCCCTGTTTCTATACAGAACTTCCCTTTGGTTTACAAAATCCCTTTTTTGTGCTGGTTTATTTGACTTCCAGCCGCGGTCCAATTTGACTCTGTTTATAGTCCAAATCATAAATCCTGTTCAGATTGATTCAATCACAGTCCATTCATTCTTGTTATAATACAATCCATTCACATACAGTACATTGTGAAACGTCAATTAGGTAAAGTTGTCTAAGGACGCCAGCGGATTGCGTAATGTTTTCACTTCTTTACAGTCCCACCTCCTGGGCAAGCTCGCTGGTGGAAGAAACCTCCAACTGAACTGGGCTCAGGGTGGGCAGACACACATGGGACTGGTCCAGGTGTAGTTTCTTCGGACCAGGTGTAGTTTCTATGGGGTGAAATGCCAAGGAAAACACTGGTTAATAATAGAAATAATTGCAAATGCAAACATGGAGCATGTAAAGACAGCAGCAGAGGGAGGGAATGCAGGTCAATATGTCCTCCAGCAGTCTTAAGCTTATAGCAGCATAACTAAGGGATACCTTAGGAAACCCTTAGAGGATTTATGAAAATAAGCCTGGTCTAAAAGCAGAGTGTCAGCCTCAGACTGGAGGAAACTGGAGGATAGTCCCACCACAGGATAACTGATAACTGAACGCTCTGCCTCCCATTCTGCTTTTAGAAACCATAGACGCCACATGTAAACCTGCAGTCTTAGCTTAGCCTTTCTAAAGACGGTTTTATAAATGAAGCAGAACCGCTGTACAGTTTTTTGATCTTACGCCTGATTCTTCTGCTACATCAGATTCAGTTCAAGGTCTGGCGTTATTCAACGTCAGCGGTATTGTCTTCATAAGAAAGACGATACGGTCGCTGTTCGGGATTTATAATGTTTACATAGTAGGTGGTGCACCTATTTAGACATTCCTCTATTTTTTTTTTTCTTTAGCAGCTTCGTTTATCAGGCGATAAACACAAACAAGGGGACACCGTTCTCTGCCTCCAAGGGGTTGGGAGGATCTAGATATTGGCGCAGAGCGTGCACACTGGGTGTACAGTTGGAGCAGCTGCATGTCTGCACACCTCCACATTCCTCAGGTCCTTTTCCTAGTCATTCAGCAGAGGCAGGGAGGGGCCGAGCTGTCAACCTGCACGGCTACACTCCCGTTCCCCCCAAACAGGTTTTAACGCTCCGTTTACGAGCCCGAAACTGCTGTTCCCGTGGCTAACAAGTAGCACATTTCAGGATAGAGAGATAAGATTCACAATGTCCTGTTTTTTGACTCGACCTCAAATTAAAATGATGAAATTAGTCATTCTTTTCACCTCCTGCTCGCAAGCTTTTAGAACCAGTTTTGTCGGCTTCAAAACCACCGGGGTGAGCTTCTGTGAAAGGCAGCACAACTATGTAGATCTACAACAACAAGGTTCTCGTGTTTCAACAACAAAAAAAATACATATACTTTGCGTTAAGGAGTTTTAATATTGGTTATATAAACTACTCTTAAAGGCTATTGAGTTGTTATAATTAATCATTCAAGTCTTCTACAGAAACAATAAATTATTTAAGCAATTAAAGGCTTAGGATTCCTTTCAGCCCAGAGTTTTAGACTAAATTTTTTGCTGGGAAAAAAAGGGTTGTAGCCATTTTGGTCAAAACTTTAAAATAAATTATGCGTGATCTCATCACAAGCTGTCATGCGCAGATGTGTTGGAATAACTCTCGGCTACTACCACATCAAATTTGAGCTTAACATCTGTAAAACTGACTGAGTTAGAGCCATTTCTGTGTTGGCTTCGATTAGGCCTGTTACGATAACAAATTTTGCCGTGCGATTAATTGTCTCAGAAATTATTGCGATAAACGATAATATTGAAATTTGTCAGTAATTCGTAATTATTGTCAATTTAAGAAGACATTATTAATTTGGTTTGCATGTCTCTTTTAAGAAAAATGGCCCCTTGATGCGACATCGGCTGTCTCTCTTCGGTTCTCAAAATGGCAGACGCTCTGTGTGGTTTGAGCTCTTTAGCATAGCATTTTTCACACAAAGCTTTTAATAACAAATCAGTAAACAAGTTCTCAGCTTCTTTTTGCAGAGAAAAACTTTTTACACAAAGACACGAGTTTCAAACGTGCATTTTGGAGCTTTGACAAGACAGAGTTTTTTTTCCCCTGAGATCAGCCTGTTAGCTTAGCTCGTAGCTTAGCTTCTTAGCTTCTTAGCTTAGCTGCTTTTAACGATACAAAAGCGCGATTTTGGACGGTTAAAACAGATTTTAAAGAGAAAGGGAGGAGTTAGTGAAGAGCACCGGAGTTGTGCTTTTTGTCATCCAGTGTCTTCAGTAGAAAGGGAGAGACACGAAGAAATGATAAAGCCAATAAATTAAAATGAGGTCAATAATTTTTATTTTCCATGTGATTAATTGATTTATTGTTTACTGTGACAGGCCTAGTTATGGTAGCCATCTTGAATTGGGTTGACTCCAAAAGTTAAATCAGTTATAGACCTAATGATTAGTTTCTGCAAGTTTCATTTAAACCCATGAGGTTTTTCGTGACATTTTCTGTCAACAGAAAGAGTTCATTCCAAATAGTAAATGCAATTTTAAGCAAAGATTTTGTGCTCAGAATATGTTTGGGTTCAATGTCAGCTACTACCACTTCAAAGTTTAGGTTATTTTGTGTAAATCTGGCTGAGTTGGAGCCATTTTTGTGTTAAGGTCGTTTTTTTTATGCTAGAATAGAAACGTTGCTATGAGAAGATGATGTTCGTCCATTTCCCTAACGTCCCCATGACCTTCTCCGTCTTTGCTTTTTGCTTTTATTGTCTCAGCAGGAGGACGGCCCCTCCAGCAAACAGGCCTCCATCGTACCGCTGGTCATCCCCGTGTCTGTTCCCGTGCAGAAGAATCCGACAGAATCTCAGGGCGTTTGGGTTCACGGACGCCTCGGTCAGAGCGATCGTCCCGCGGGGCAGACGGATCGAAAGCCTTCAGTCATTGTGGCTCGTCGCCGCTCACTCAAACACACCCTGACTGCGACTTTTGGCCAGGTTGGTAAACTCGAGACTCTCTTAAAGGGCAAGTTGCAGGAAAACGTTGCAATAAAGTTGCAATCCTTTCCTCTTACATGAGCAACCTTAAAGTTTGTATTTTCATGCCTAATAGGGAACTGCATGCACGTCAAAATTTTGTTTTAAGGGCAATTTTCTGAAGAGAACAAAGCTGTGCTTCACACATTTAGTAAAGTCTGCAGCGTGTGAGCCGTTAAGAATAAGATGATGTGTGTCAACATTTTCTAAATCCATAAATGACTTGTTTTAAACCCTGTTTGAAGCTGCACAGTGAATCTTTGTTCAGAAAGTGCAGTAAATATTTACTGATAGAAACTAGTAGATGCTGGTTTAGTGTTTTTTATTATAATCTGTGTGCCTGAAATATCTTAAATTGTACTTAAAAATTCTGACACTACACCATATTGGGATCAAAAGAAGCAAAGTGCAACAAGCTTTAAAGAATTCAGAATAAGTTTCACATCCTTAACTGACTTCTGTGAGCCAGATCCTTGTCAGTTTAATTATTTATACTTTGCAAAGCAGATAAATCACTAAAATACACATATATGTTCACCAATATGCCTTAATATCACAAAGCATGAATTTAAAGACATAAAAATACAGATTTTAATGTGATGATAGCTCTGATTTGTCAAGACATGGACTCCACAAGACGTCTGAAAATGTCTTCTTGTTGAGGACACCAAAATATTGTTTATTAATCCTGTAAATATTCTGATTGGACTTATCGTGTGAATGCCGAGTCATCATGTGCTTGTGCGATTTTTGACTATTCAAACATCAAAAAGTTTAATTTGAACAAAGATAGTGTGTTCTAACATTTTGTTTTTGTAACTTTTATACTATGTAAAATCTGAAACTTTATTTGTAAAAGGAAAAATAGATAAAAGCCTCTGCAGAAATGCATCCAGATTTCTTCAGTTCCTTCAGAAATGTTCTTTATTCTTGGTTTATTGTTGCCTTCTTATGCCCCTTTTAGCTTCCAGCTGGAGTTTTATTTTTAGTTTGTAGCAACTGTCTTGCTAAATTTAAATAGTGGTTGACCATTATGTTTTTCTATGGCTGAGGCAAATGCTGATCTTTAGAGATCAGGACAAGCAATGACTGATCTATACAACACAGATTTATGTATTTACAGTACAGTAGTCCCTCATTTATTACAGGGGTTACGTTCCAGACACCCCCGCAATGGATGAAAAACCACGAAGTAGAAACACTATATTTTAGCATTTATAAATATTTTAAGGTTTTATAAACCCTTCCCACACTCTTGCAATGTTCTCAACTCTTAAACCTTTGTAATTTTAACAATATGTACTGTACAGTACTGCAAAATTTTATAAGGGTACTCACCAGCCCTGGTCCAGTTCTGGTCCGGTTCTGATCGTCTCTCTGCAGCCGTTGAGCACCAGATGCTTTTGGAGAGAGCCAGACCTTTGGAGCGCCAGTACAAAATCGTTCAATGGTCCAGATTGAGTCCAGATGATCCAGAGAAATCCGGATGAAAAAGTCTGGATGCGCTCCGGAGAAAACACCGGACCTCCAAGCAACACTTCCCCGCTCGAGAGGCTTCATGTGCCGGCAAGCAGCGCTCAGATTGACAGATGATGCTGGAAGTAGTTCTGGTCCGATTCTGATCTCTGCATCCGCTGAGCGCCAAAGTCACTATGAATAGGGACTGAAGTTTTTTATCTAGTTTGGAGTGGATCAAAACTTTCCCTCCATTTTGTCTGAAAGCAGCGGCTGGAAGCACTGTTGGCTTCTGGGTAGTGCAGTTCTTTGACTGACCGTACAGTTTAGGCTTTTTTTAAAGAAAATTACAAAATGGCGACGCCTGTCCAAAGTGTTTTTCTCCGTTAACTTTTTATTTCGTACTGTCCCAATCACGTGAGTAATATTAAAAGTTGACAATCATTGAAAAACTGCGAAAGAACGAGTCTGTGAAAGTCGAACCGCGAAGTAGCGAGGGTCTACTGTACTGCGTTAATTCAGGCCATCACACACACACACACACACACACACAAACACACATATATACATATATATATATATATATATAGATATTATATAGAGAGATAATATACACTATTATTATATTGTGTGTGTGTGTGTGTTTAACATTCTTGTGTAAGAAAGCAATTGTCAGCTGATTGTAGCAGCTTTTGCTACAAACATGGCTGATTGCAGAAATGTATTTATTTATTTATTTTAGTGTCAATTATTGACTGGATCAGACCATAGATTATTTAATCTATCTCTAATTGTAGCTTTTATTATATTGTAGAGTTCATTTTAGTTTGTTGTCTTGCTAATTTGAGTTTAGCTTTAGTTTTGCTTATTGTGTTTTGTTTATTTATGGGTTTGCCAATTTTGGCATTTTGTTACAGTTTTACCAGTTAAATCTTCTCCCTATAGTTTTGTGTATTTTCATTTTAGCTACTGTTCCGCTCATTTTAGCTGCTGTTGTGCTTATTTTTACTAACAATTCAGTTTCTGCCGCAACAAACCTGAGCAAAACTGCTAAACGGCAGTCAAATTTACACTGCATTTTTGCAGAAAAAGGCTGTTCTCGAAATTTAAGGATATTTTACAGGTTTGATTGATGCCTTAGAATTGTTGTCTTGCTAAAATAAACTAGTTTAATGACGACTGATGTATCTAATTTCCTCCAGGATGAAAAGAACGATCCAGGACTGGACGACGACGGAAAGTCCAAGTTCAAGCGGCGGACTCGTCCCGAGCCCCTCATCATCCCTCTTCCCAAACCCTCCACCTTCATCCCTCCATCTGTCTACTCCAGCATCACTTCCTACCAGAGCAACCTGCGCTCTCCGGTTCGCATGCCGGACAACCCTTACTCCCACCCCCCGTACACGCCTCCCCCAATCTTGTCCCCGAGGCGAGTGGGATCTGGGCTCTACTTCTCCACCGTCCTCACCAACAACCAAATCCAGCCTCCTCTGGCTACTCCCAAGTCTGCAACGCGCAGCCTGCTGCGTTCCAGTAAGTTGCAGTTGGGGCACCAGGTTCACTCAACATTCTAAATTCTAGTAAGGCTTTTATTTGTTTAGATAAATCCAGAGTTTTATAAAAAACTTGTTTTTTCTCAGCGAGTTCAGACGTCACCCCTCCTGTCCTGCCCTTGATCGCTGATGCCACACCTGTGTGCCTCGAACCGTGAGCACCACATCACGTATCCAAACAGTTTTCGGCTTTTTAGGGCTGCTTCCATTTTTTTTTATAACTCTTACGCTCTGCTTTGACGTCCAGACGTATCAACATTGGGCAACAGTACCAGGCAGAAATTCCTGACTTGCGAGATCAGCTCTCCTCCCAGTTCGACCAGCCCAAAGCCGACTTGGTTTGGCATCCGTTAGATGACGTCAAACACAACGACCAGTACTGTAAGTGCGTAACTAGTTTCTTTGACTGATGGAAGCTTTCTGTCTCTAACTTCCTTTTTACTTCCTGTTTTCAGTGGAGGGTTTGATGAGCATGTCTTGCTCAAGTGTTCTCAGTGGAGGAGGAACCAATCAGGAGCTGGTTTTTCACTGTTTACATGAATGTGGAGGCAATATTCTTGTGAGTTGATGGTGATTCCTTTGAGCTATTAAACTTGAAGCAACATCCTTTCAGCTAATGCTGTCGTTTTGTGCATGTTGATCCTAATGACCATTTTGTTGAATCTTTGTAATGTTAATCTTAAGGAAGCGCTGGAGCGTTTGATGCTTCAGGACTCAATTTTCCCCAGTGGTCATCACCTGGGAGGTTATCACTACTCAGGTGAAACGGCTTTAGCAACTCTCACACATCACAGCTTTTTACCTCTTTTATATTTTGTTTTCCTTCTATTTGTTTCTTTTATCCTCCACAAAAGTGTGGATTAAGTTTATCTTTACTGTTCGTCATAGGCTCCGACAGCTGGACTGCAGAGGAGAAGTGTTACTTCAACAAAGGGATTGGTGCCTACAGGAAGGACTTCTTCCTGGTGCAGAAACTGGTAAGTTATAACCTGTAATGTTTCTGATCATTAGGATAAAAAGATCTCATTTAAGACGTGTGGCAGAAATCAGATTTGCATCATTTATCATGTTTGTGCATCTGTTACCAGAATATTTCATAAGATGTTAGATGAATTTTAATGAAACTTGCAGAATGTGATCAATGGGTGCACATTTAGATCTGATTAACTTTCTGAGTGAACCCAATTTAAGATGGCTGCCACAGCTAATCAAATTTTGCCAACACAAAAATGGCTATAACTCACAGATATTTGATCAAATCAACCGTGTAATAGTTGAGACTGATCCCCAACATCCATTCTGGGCTCTATCAATATTATAACTACCAGTTTTACAGTTACTGAGCTAAAAACCTGATGTAGTAGCTGAGAGTCAGTCACATCATGACCTCCGAGTATATTATTGTGAGATTATATATATTAGGTTATTTTTGAAGTTTGACCAAAATGACTACAACTTGTTTCTCTACAGAAGATGATCTCAGGGTGAAACTCTGGCATGAAAGGCAACGGACAATGTGCAATCCCTGAAGAAATGCTCTACCTTTTTTATTTTATTCTAGAATTACTTAAAAGAAAATAAGACAATTCAAAAAAGATCCTAATTGAATCCAAGTGTTAGGGAATAAGTTTGCACCATTTATTGTTTTCTAACATCAAAAAGTGCTTTTGCAGACAGGAAGGGGGTGCTTTAAAAAGTTAAATAGAGACAAAAAAATTCAATCACATCCTCTTTGTGGCAGGAAGGCTGGTTTGTAGAATCTTTCATTTCAGCAGCAGGCATGAGCCCGAGGCCTAAATGGAAATAAATACCTCCTAAACCTCCCAACAGTAGAGAACAAGCACCTTTTGGACTTCTGAAGTCAACTCTGTATTTAAACATCTTTTAGGTGCGGTCTAAGACGGTGGCTCAGTGCGTGGAGTTCTACTACACGTACAAGAAGCAGGTGAAAGTGGGACGAAACGGCATCTTGACCTTCGGCCCTCCAGATTCACTGGTGGAGAAGCACACAGAGATGACGGTGGACATTAAGGTAGAGTGAAGTTCTTGATTTTTCTGCTGCGAGAAGCGTCATTTTGCTTTTTGATGCTGTTGAGTTTATAATCCAAGTGTGGGGGCGCCTAAAATGATCAATCAGTATGAAGACCAAAAAATACAGCTCTCTTCTATTAAACAAAGCCGACATGGATTAAAATAAAAGTTCTCTAAAGCATAAAAATCTGTGCTGTGATTCATTTCAGACATATCAACCCAAACTGACTCCATTAGAGGTGGATGAAGACAACAACAAGAAAGAATTTTATGATGAGAGCCATGAGAGCAGCCAGCAGGCGAGGGTTGTTCAGTCACTACAGGCTCATGACTATGTAAGTATTTTTATTCTACACTCCCTTCATGGACTAACCCTAAACTTCACAGAGGTGTTCAACTCTAAAGATAATTTGCCTCTGAACCCATTTCAGAGGTAAAGGTGATTACTGAGGTTGTTAAAACAGCTGTGATGGTATAACTCCAAACACAAGTCTTAATGGTTTCAAAGCGCATTGAAACCCTCCATCATTCACCATAACCCAGAGCTATTCCACTAAATTACCGTACTTGCCACCGTATAAGTCACATCAGTCCAAAAATGTCTAATAAAGTGGAAAAACACATAACTGTCACTTCGCTGTATAAGTTGCAGGCATGCTAATTTGTAGGGCTGGGTACCTTTCTAAAAAAAATTGGTACTGGTACCTTCACTTCGGTGTTGGTCCCTGAACGATACTTTTTTCGGCACCAATTTTGTAATTAATATCAATTCTAACAAGAAGAAAATTACATTACACATTACAGTACACATCTTGAGTTTTATTTTTTAACTTTGGTATTTTTTCCATTCCAAGTAGTTTCCTTACATAAAAATAAATACTTTCCAGGTCAAAAGAACAGTTGCAAACCAGTGACACGTCGGTGTCTAATGCTCACTGCTACACACCGAGGACCTTTTCACTTAACAATTTTTATTCAGAAAAATCAACATGTCTGCTTTCTCTGGACACAAACAAGCCCGCTCCTGGCTGATGGTGTCTCCAGCAGTAGGAACTGTTCACTCTGAGGGTGTGGATGATGCTTGTTGCACACACATATACCTGGTTGCCAAGTTTGATAGCACTGACATATTGTCCCTCACATTCCACCAGCAGGTCACTGGATTCACTGAGGTTAGGGCTGATGCAGACTTCTGCACCTCTGTGTCTCTTCCTGAATCTTCTCTGTGGTTTTCTGGGGTTTAGTGCTCTTATCAGCTCCCTAATTGACATTAGAACACAAAACATCAATAGTAACATGGTCGTGTTATTATTGCTCAAAAACCATTATCTAGGCTGAGAGATAAAAGTTTTAACTGGTCAACAATATCCTTTACAGTTTACTTACCTCCACCATGCAGCCTCCACTGTAGAAAAAGGCAGCAAACTTTTAACAATGTTTATGACTGTCCTGTGGGCCCCCATCTCGCTTTTCTTTTGTCCTTTTGTCCTCCTCACATCAGGGTCAGAGGCTCCTGTGAGGAGAACATAAACAGTGAACATCAGGTGAACTGTTTAACCAGATGACCCGATGGATGAGCACATTTTTTACAAGCTAAGCTTTATGTTACTTTCAATCTTTAGTTAGCTTTTGATTTTAGCTAGCTGCGTAGATAGCCATAAAATAAAGCTACACACTACTATCTTAAAGTTAGCGTTACATGGATTCTAGTTTAACTCACTGCAATGCACGTATTAAACTGCAGTAACGTTAACAAGCGTAAATTTACCAGCTGAAATCCCAGACACAGAGATTGGTGCAAAGCTGAGTCCGGTCGTGGAGATGTTGAATCAGGCCGTTCAGGCTCTGACACCCACAGGCGGACTTGAAAGCTGAGAGGAGGAGGCTGTGGTTCGCTCTTCTTCCAGTCAAACATGGAGCAACTTAACGCTCTTAAATTCCGTGCACAGTCAGGCGCTGATTATTAAGGTTTGCTTAGAAACCACATGAACCACGTCTGTTTTTCCTGTGCCGCAGCACTGGCATTCACTGTAACTTTACATGTGGTTGAAACCACGTGTAATGTTACAGCCAATCACAGAAACTTGACACCGAAAGAAGAGGCATCTTTTGATCCATACACCGACCGAACTGCTTCGGTCAGTATCATAAAAGAACCGAAGTTTGGTACTCAGCCCTACGCAGGACTTGCAAATTTATGCAAAAAGGTGCGACTTATACGGTGAAAAATATGGTACTCAAGGGGCCACAGTTAATGAAAGCCAAGAGCTCAGGGGCCAGACATCTAGCAATTATTGTCATGAAGTAAGTTTGTTTCATGGTTTAAAATCTACCGTAGTTTTTTTTTTTTTCCAAATTGAACCCATTGGTGGGCCGAACTGAGTTCACTCGTGGGCCTGATTTGGCCCCTGACCTTTATCTGTTTCGATCCAAGCTGCAGGACCTCCCACTAAACTGATGCGACTCAACACAGCAGCATTTGACCATCCAGGTGTGAAATACATAAATAAAATAGTTGGGGTGCCGGATGATTAAAGATAATCAGCCAACCATCTTGGGGAATTTTCTGAAATTACAGCTTTGTTTGTTTAGTTTTCTTTTTCGAGCCTAAAGTTCTAATAAATTGTTTTAATCCTCATTATAAACGTACATTTAGTCAGAATTTTAATAATCGAAGTGTGTTACAGGATGTTGTGTGAGTGATTAGACACCTGTTGAAAGGCAGACGTATTGTGATAGTCTCTGTTTGTCTGTACACTTTCTCTTGTCCTGACCACAACTTCTGATCTGCTCACGATCCTTTAAATGAAACTTGATATGAATTTCTACCATGACTACACGATGTGTCGTGCAATCTTTTCATCACCACTGCTCCAAGATCAAGGTCACAAATCAAGGTCAAATGTTAGATGAGGGTTTGCTTGTCCAGGCCATTTCTATACGTAGCTGTGTAACAGTTTTTTGACACGCATACCGGTAATATGCCGTATGCAGCACTTTTCTTAGGTTTAATGTTTGTTCTGATTGTTTTTGGACCCACTGTGATCATTGTATGCTAGAGAGCCAAAGTCTGAGCGGCATGATGTCACATTACATTCACCTAATTAAACACACAGCTGATGTTAAATTCACAGTGAAGCTGTTTAAAACAGCTGACAGATGTATTTCACCACCATGGATTTTTACAGGTTATTTTTCAGTATTTGCTCTGACACTGAGATCTGTGAAGTCAATTAACGTTATAAATGTGCCTTTATTTTCCCCTATTCTGTGTCTGTTAAATCAATTTAGTTTATTTATATAGTGCCATGTCACAACAGGAGTCATCTCAGGGCACTGAACAGAAACATTTATATACATAAAAAGTATGTTCGTACTAGTATTATTTATCATAGGAGCAGACTGCTTTGAGTCTAACTTCATCACTGACACTCATCTTGAGCAAGCATGAAGGCAACAGTGGAAAGGAAAAAAACTCCCTCATAAAGAAGAAGCCTCCAGTAGAACCAGGCTCAGGGCAAGCGGCCATCTGCTTCGACCAGCTGACAATCATCAGCATAACAGTGAAATGAAAGGCCATGTTTCCTCAGAATAGACCCCAAAGGGAACAAATGGAGTAAAAACAAAATATGTCCAAAAATCAAGCCCTGTGGTACCCCACAAGGAAGAGGCACTGACGCAGATTCACCATTTCCAACCTTAACACAGAAACTCCTGTCACTCGGGTAAGAACAGAACCATTCTAATGTTGCACCTGTAATCCCAATTCAGTGTTCTAATCTCATTCCAAGGATACTGTGGTCAACAGTATCAAAAGCAGCGGTAAGTTCCAGGAGTACAAGGATCGCAAACTGACCCGAATCATTTGCTAAAAGAATGTCATTACAAACCCTAACTAAAGCTGTTTCGGTCAAACTGAAAGATAAAAAAAACCCACTTTTCATTCAAAAGCTTGTTTAGTTGAATAAAAAATGTTTTCTCCAGGATTTTAGAAAGAAAGGGAAGTTTTGAGATTGGATTGAGATTTGGCACTGTATAAATAAACTGAATTGAAGTCCGGTAATTAATATTAAGAGTTAACTGTGCTGTTAATTCAGTTTGGGTAAATGTGCCGACATTATTCCAGAAACCTCAGCAGACCTGATGTTTGCTGCTCGTTATCCGCCCTCTGTGTGACAGCGCATGTATTTGAGATTCCATTGCAAAATGTTTCAGGGTACACAAGTGTTGCCACCAAGTGGTAGTAATCACCCAAACAACAAATCCAAACAGCCTCTTTGTGGCGGCAACACTCCTCGGTTTTCACATTGACAGCTACGTCTTGTTGTTGCTTCAGGCAGGGACAGTTCTGGTGATCAAAGAGCCGGACGTTGTGAAAAAAGAACCTCATCCCCCATCTGGATTTCCACGACCTCGTGCAGAACCTGCAGCAAAGAAGGGCAAAGCTCCACCGAAGCCCCCGCAGGACCCCGATGCTGTGTTTCCGTGCAAGAAGTGTGGCAGGTACAGCCTCTTCTGACTGTTTCTCACCAGTTTTACGGCGTAATGATGACGCTCGTGGGTTTTCCTGCTGCTCATTTATTATTTTAGCCACTGGCAGCACAAAATACGTTGCAATTTGCTGACTAAAGAGAAACCTTCAGCAAATTATGCAAATTAATTTTATGAAACTGTAAAAAATAAATATAGCAGCTGCATGACGTTCAGTTTTTGCTGGTGTAAGTTTGTTACTTTGGATAAAATCTCAAATCCATCCATGAATTAAATTTGGTGTAAATTTCCATCTTTATCAGTGGAAACATAAAGGAAAATGTAAGAATTAAAGTTATAAAACAAAATTTATGTCCACTAAACAAAATGATGAGCCTCAGTACTGTATGGTGTTTTAGTTTTACACATATCTGACAAAATAAATATCGTTTTGTAAGAGAAAATAACACTGTTACATAGGTTATCCAACATGCTGACTTAAACTTCAGGTCTCTGTAAATGAGTCCCCGAGGCTCAATGGGATTAACCTGTATAAATAAAGGTTGAATGAAAAACAAAACTGCTTTTCTTAGTTTCCACATCAGAAAGCCACTTGGTGTCACTGCAGAGCTTATCGTGTGAGCTAATGAAGCGTTCACACCACTGTGATCCATTTGTCCCGTACATTTTTCAGCATCTTTCTTGTTCCACAATGTTTGTGCTATTTCACCAAATCATATATCAAAATGTTCAGCTCGTTCAGGAGAAGGGTGTTCTGAGTTTTGGTATTGGTGCAGCTTTAGCTTGTTAAAATATTGAACTTTTTCTGCCACTTTTTTCTCATAGAAAATGAATGAGCTCATTTTACATCCTTCAGAGATTTAGATCTGTTTACAACCTTTTACTGCTCATTTCTCATTTTGATCTGGTTCACTTTCTTTCAGCTTCCTGGTGCAAATAAAACAATTTCAGCTACTTTCCACGTCGAGCCTTTCCACCTAATTCCACAATTTTTGCATTCCCATTTCAACTTTTTTTCATCCTACTAGTAATTCAGCAAAAATGTGCTCTCTCCTCTTCCATCTGGTATTTTAAGTTTCTTTCTGCTTTTTTTTTTTTAGCTACTATTAAGCCTTTTTTTTTGCAAATTTTTCTTTTTCCAGATAATTTCCACTTTTTGGGCTTATATTTACTTCATTAGGCTTAACTGGGCACGATTGTGCTGTCTTCACTTCCTTCTGGTAATTTAAGCATTTTTCTGCCTTTTCAGCTTTTTTTTTTTTGGTTCATAATTTCAGCCTTTTTTTTAAGCAAATTTACTCATTTTTGTGCTAATTTCTGCTTATTTAAACAAAATTCAGCAACTCTGTGTTCTTTCTGCGTTCTTCTGCTAACTTATTCTTGCTCTTCAATTTCAGCTACATTTCGGCATGTTTTAGCTAATTTTGTCTGTTTTTCAGCAAGTTCTTCAGCAATAAGCATTCATACTGCTTTTCCGCAGGAAATGTAATTTTTCTAGTTAAATGAACGTTTCAATAAATAAATAGCCCGACATGAAAGTGACACCTAATTTAAAAGCTCTTCAATCGTCCCAACACTCAGAAAAGTCTCAAAATAAGTTTCATGCGTTTGTATTTCTGCAGTCTTATCTCTTTTTTTAAGCTGAAAATTTATTCAAACAAATGACGTCTGAAAGTTCAAATTACCATATTTTTCGGACTATAAGGCGATTATAGCGAAACAAAACAGTCACATAAATCAAACTTTATTTAACTCATTCACAGTAACCACATAAAATCAGTTCGAGGTCATTAAGCACAACCAGAATTAATACATAAGATGCTCTGGATCATAAGGCTCATTGTCGATTTTTGAGAAAATTACAGGATTTTAAGTGCAGCTTATATTCCGAAAAATACGGTACTCTTTTAAGGTTCAAAAATCTTTTAAATGTTACCAATTAAAGACTTCTTTAGAAGATCACTGTTATTCTTAGTAATACAAGCATTTTCACAACAAAATTTTCTGAGCAATGATGTTTTTGTTTGTCTCTCTTGCCAAATATCTCTTGAACCGCATGAAACATGCAACGAAACATGCAAAGAGTAACCACCGGATGTACATCTACAACCGATTAACTTTTAAAGTCGACTCAAAACATGGCTCCAGCATTGAAAGTGATTTTAGCTGAGAGTCGTCGTTCATGTGCGGCGTGGCACGACATTGTGCAGAACATTTTCAGAAACGAATCCCTAAAAACAATATTTGTAATGAGAAAAGTGTCTGCGTGATCGGTCATGAGATTTGAATTACTCCTTCCTGAACTAACGCATGCAAATGTGTAGCTATTCTGAACTTTTACAACAAGCAGTCATTCAGAACAAGTCAACAAACTGTCCCGAAACGTTCAGATCGTCATGTCCTGAAGCTCACGTGTGACTCTTGCTTCACGCGTCAGTATTTCTGTGTTCAAGTTAAGATGCTCAAAGATCAATGCTCATATTTCCACACAGGGTGTTTTATAAAGTGAAGAGTCGAAGCGCCCACATGAAAAGTCACGCCGAGCAGGAGAAGAAGGCTGCGGCGCTGCGGCAGAAGGAGGAGGAGGAGCGGGCTGCAGCTCAGGCTCGAGCCAGGAAGGCGGCAGCCGCCCTCGCTGTGGCGTCCCATCAGGGAGGGAATGGAAACGGAGCGGCACAGCAGGCGGAGCTCAGCAGCCAGGAAGACTCAACCGAAGTGGAGGATGACGACGATGAAGACTGGCACTGAGCAGAGACAAAACGAGGAAAAACGAACTCAGGAGGATTTGGAGTTTTGTGCCAACAGACTTTCGAGACGAACAAAGTATCGAGACAGTGGTTTAAAAAATGATATCCTGCCTTCTGAGGGGCAGAGTAAGCACAAGAAAACATGTTTTTTTAATGTCTTCCTGGTTATCTTTGTGCTGCTTTTCAGACCAAAACCATCTCTGTTGTTTAGCTTTACACCCTCAGCCAGGCCGACACTCCACATTTAAATATTCAAAGTTTTATTTTTCTAAATGCACTTCTACCGTATCTTTCTGCTTTGGCCAATAAGGCCTTTTTATACGTTTTATTTAATTAACGGCAACGTCAAACTATTTGACTTTTTCACTATACGAACTTGATGGTGAACTTGATATATCTGAATTGAAAGATCAAATGGATTGGTCCTTTCTTGAAGCAGCCTTTTGAATTAAAGATAAAATGTAAGAAAAGATAAAAGGGCTCATATCTTTAAAAAAAACAATCTTAAATGTGGTGGATTTTTCTAACCATCCCAGGTTACGAGGTTGGTTGTACACTTTATTTTTTACAAGTTTTAAAGGACCTTTGCAATGAATGTGTACAAAAAAAGTATATGAGATTGCTATATATTTATGATAAGACATTTACATTGATTTTGGTAATATAAAGAACAATCACGTTGGATTGAATATGAGTGGATTGCTGAAAATGAAATAAAACTCTTGTTCTGAGGAGTGTTGTGTTTCTGGAGCGGGCAGTGTTGGCATCAATAAACCAGCAGATGGAGACAAATGTTTATAATGATTTGAAAAGAACTGATTTGATGTTTCCATGTTCCTCCTATTAGGCACTGAAGGGGTTTTAATCAGGAAACTGAGAATGCATGTTGAATGGTTGCATTAAAAAAATTCTAGGATGTTGAGTTTAAATAGTTTTATGTCCAGGAGATGTTGCAAATGGTTTGTGTTTTTTTTATAGCAAAATTCCATAGAAACCTATGAGTAAGTATCTTACTTGATGTAGATAGTGCCACTTATTTATTTATTTATTTTTTATATATGACCTGGTTGACAACAGCTACATAACTAAAACCAAAGTCGATGTCAATTTGAGAAGAAAAAAGCTCAAGTTTCCAAAATTTTAAAGTAGTTAATGCAAATATTGTTTTTATAAACTTTTACATGGGTATTTAAATTTAACATGTTAAAACATCACTGTTTCCTTTGAATACAACCTAAATTTAATAATTTTTGGTGTAAAAGGGAAAAATTTAAATATAATTTTTTTTTTTTGTAGTCAAAACCAACACATTATTGACGAAACATAAAATACCTGGATTTTTTTTACCTGGATTATTGAGCATGAACTTTGTTGTTTTGAACCACTTGGGCTATGGCTGCCTCAGAGGAGTTGACGGGGGAGAGGGCGGGCCCCAGAAACCATCTTATCACCTGCAAACTGTTTGATCCACTATGGCCAGGGTGTGAAACTCACTTACAAAAGGGGGCCAAAATTAAAATGTTTTTTCAAGCTAAGGGCCAGTTTCAGAATCTACATTAACTCACCAGATACCTGACCTCTTTTCTTGGTTGCAGGTTCCTCAACAAGAGTTTGATTGGTCTCATTTGATGTTCTCTGTTCTTTGTTGGATGTTTTTTAAATCTGAATTATTGAGCATGAACTTTGATAAAATACCTGCCACACTAAAATGGTAGCAGCAGCTAGCTTTTACCACGAGCTAAAAGCTAACTGTGGCTAGCCTAAAGTCATAGCTAATTGTGATATTCACCTGGCACAAATGATCCTTTCTAACACAAAAATTTTATTAAAAAGTACACATTGGAGACAAATAAAAATATCTAAACAACATGACAGTTGTCCAATGTGTGGGTTATAGAGGCTAAAATGCAACTATGTAATGTGATTACATCAAAAGAGCACAGAATT